TAGGAGGTGATCATTCAGGTGAGAGCCCTTATGAAAGGGCTTGAGGAACAGGTTCTCACTCTTCAAATACAGGCAGTTAGAAGCTGCTACCTATGGCCATCACATCAAATCTATCTGCCTGTGCCTTGGCTTTGCCTTTCACAGCCCTCTGAATTGTGAGAAATGAGTCTCTGAGGTTATAAATTACCAAGTCTATATAATTTAGTAACTTGTGATCATTTGTGTGATTAAAATTTACTATGTAGTTTTGTTTTGTTTTTTTTTTTTTTTTTTTTTTTTTTTGGCCCATAGACTCATGGTTTATAACTACTAGAGCCCTTTTTAAACTAAGCAACAAAAACCATAAGCATATGTTTTATTAAGATACTTGGCTTTTCCCCCGTGACTCTTGAAGCAACTTTTGGTCAGATTCAGAACTATAAAGATAATCTTTTGTATGCTGGGGTACTTTAGGCCTCAGAAAGGAAATTCTCTCCCCTTCCCCTTCCTGTTTCATTCACACCCTCCTTTTCCTTTTCTTAAATTAATCCTTTCCCTTCTGTAGGTAGGTCACAGAGCCTAAGAATATCCTCTAATCTTCCCCTGCCTTTCTGCCTTGGAGCCAGCCATACAGACATTCTCAACCTACCTTATTTGATGAGCACAAGCTCCCTCCTCCATACCCTCAATCCCAAGTTTAAGTGCAGTCTCTGTTCCACAGAGAGACCAAGAGAAATTTGAAGAGACATGTCTGGACAAGCTTATCCAGTACATCCCCTTCAGATCATAACCTTTGTGTACTAACAGTTGTGCATGCTTTAATTATGGCTGTGCAGTGAGGGCTCCATAAAAATCCAAAGACTGGTTTGGGAGCTGTTGGACACTGGATTGGTGTAATGGCCCCAAAGTGAAGAACTCTCACCAGAAGGGGAGTGCCAGGAGAGAAACTCCTGTGCTTAGGACCCACTGGCCATTTATATCTTTTAAAATAGTTTTTGCACCCAAGCTGGGTGGTGCTGGCACATGCCTTCAATCCCAGAACTCAAGAGGCAGAGGCAGGAAGATCTCTGAGTTTGAAGCCAGCCTGTGATGGAGGATGTCCTTCCATATGCTGTGAATATATGTTTCTCTTCTTGGTTGATGAATAAAGCTGTTCTGGCCAATGGACAGGCAGGATGTAGCCAGGCAGGAAGTAAAGGCAGGGCAACCAGACTAGGAGATCTTGGAAGAGGAACATAAAAAGTGGGTCACGAGAGAGGCACTATGTAGCTGCCAAGGAAGAAAGAAACTGGGGCATCACTGGTAAGCCAACACCATGTGGAGATACACAGATTAATAGAAATGGGTTAATAAGAGAGAGCTAGCCATAAGAAGCCTGAGTCATCTGCCAAACAGTTTATAATTACTATAAGCTTCTGTGTGTTTATTTGGCACTAAATGGCTGTGGGAGCCATTTAGGTGGACAAAACATAGGTCCACAAGTCTGGTCTACAGAGGGAATTCCAGGAAAAACAGGGCTACACAGAGAAACCTTGTCGAGAAAAAAAGAAAAGGAGGAGGAGAAGGAGGGACGAGGAGGAGGAGAAGAAGAAGAAGAAGAAAGTCTGCAAAAAATGGTATCAGCATTTCCCTGAGCTCTGTGAAAACTCAAATGAAAGTTTCTTAATGGTCAAATCAGTCATTCCATTAAACTCCAAAGGAATTCAGTTTTCTCCCATCAAATCCCAACAGACTAACATGAAGTATGTTGTTTCCTCATAATCTTTAGGTGCCAGTCATAGCTTTCCCCCTCTGTTGCTGACAGCTGGGTACAGACTCTGGGGCATGAGTCCTGTGACCTTTGACCCAGCCAGCGGACAATTAAATCCTCCTGAGTATAAATATAGACACTGCATTGTGTTAAAAAGTTCATTAGCACAAGACCTATTTTACAGATTACATTCAAATAATGGTGTAGGAAAATCATCCCTCTGACAGTACTAAAGAGTGTATTTAAATAAGGATCAGCTTCAACTGTCGAAGGCAGCTGTAGCAAGCCATCCAGTTAGAGCACAAATACAAACCAGCCATATCTTCCTGAGGCCAGGGTGGAGTCAGAGTATTAGAAAGAAAGTGACCTTTTTGAGAAGGCCAGACAAATGCCACGACAGGCCCCTACTAACTCAATTAGGAACTAGGTAGGTCTCAGTTCCTGTCCCTTGAAATTAAACAAGACAGTTTCTCAGGAAGACCTGAACAAACGTCAATCAATCAGCAACGCCCCTGACAGTGAGGACAAGGGGAACTGTACATACTATGTCTGGGCCAACCCCACACCCCATTACTTCAAGGCAATAACCAAATAAAGACAAAACCTGGGACTTGTCCAGACTTGCCCCAGAGTGGAAAACCCACTGTTAGTCCTAACCAATTAGAAACATACTAATATGATTGCCACTGGCATAAACCAATCCTAGACAGAGATGATCTCACTGCCTTTAGAATTTCTTTAGCGTGTATAAAAGAGCCTACAAGGTTTTCTTGTGGTCGCCATTTTAGCCTTTGTGTTGGAAGCAGCATGCTGGTACTTCTATTCTGGGGATAATAAATGTTCTTGCTGACTGCATGTGTGGATGGTAATGTTTTGTGTGATGTCTCTGGGACCCTAACACATTTAACATAAGGAACTTGGAAAACGTGGTTCATCATATGTGGTGGTTTGAATGAAAATGTTGCTCATAAACTCATAGGGACTAGTATTATTTTAAAGGACCAGGGCCCGTGGCCTTGTTGGAAGAAATGTGGCACTGGGGTTGGGCTTTGAGGTTCCAAATGCTCCAACCAGTCCCAGGTCTCTCTTCCTGCTGCCTGCTGATTTGGATACAGAACTCTCAACTCCTTCTCCAGCACCATGTTTGCATGCTTCCCACCATGACAAACTAAACCTTTGATTCTGTAAACCAGCCCCAATTAAATGTTTCCCATTATAAGAGTGGCTCGGTGGTTAAGAACACTTACTGTTCTAGAGAACCTAGGTTTAGTTCCTGCCCCATATCGGGTGGCTCACAAAACGGTGCACACAAACCCACACAGGCAAACATACAAATCAATAAATACATCTTTTTAAATTATAAAATTTCTCTAATATATCTTTTTAAATTATAAAATTTCTCTAATATCACTAAAAGCATTTTTGCTGATACTGGACAGTCATAAACAGTAAACTCTGAATAAGTAAGAATTAGTCATTTCTCACTATGACAAAAAAAAAAAATAGTAGCTCACCAACAGAGGCCCCAGTATCACATTCCCCAGATAAGGGAAGCATAGCTACCAGAGCTTTACATGGGAACAATATGGGCAAGGATGACTTTGAATTCCTAATTTGGCTACCTTTACCTCCCAAGTTCAGGATGTAGGTAGCTATCAACATGCCCAGCTTTCCAGGAATTGTTTTGAATAAGAGCTAGAGACTGTGTGGACCAGCTAGAGAATAAGAAATCAACGGGGTCTTTTTTGTTTGTTTTGCTTTGTTTTGTTTTGTTTTTAGAGATAGGGTTTCTCTGTGTAGCTTTGGAGCCTGTCCTGGAATTCACTTTGTAGACCAGGCTGGCCCAGAATTCAGAGATCTGCCTGCCTCTGCCTCCCAGGTGCTAGGATTAAAGGCGTACACCACCACCACCACCACCCAGCTTCTTAAAAGCTTTTTTGTATGTGGTTCAGGGAAAGTGTGGGGCAAGTAGAAGGTGCTTTCTTGGGAAAGTAGGATCAAGGATGTCTAAAGGACAGGGGGTCTTACACCAGCCTGTTCCAAAAGGTTGTCTTGGTAACCATTCCATTGTTCTAAGGAGACACTATGACCAAGACAGCGCATAAAAGGAAGCTTTTAATTGGGCGATTGCTTACAGTGTCAGAGAATGAGTCCATGATTATTGAGACAGGAAGCATGGTACCTGGCAGGCAGGCAAGCAGGAATACCTAGTATGGACTTTGAAACCTCAAAGCCCAACCGCTACTGACACACCTCCTCTAAAGACCACACCTCCTAATCCTTCCTAAAACAGCTACAGCAACTAGGGAGGAAGCATTCAAATATGTGAGCCTGTGAGGGCTGTTCCTATTCAAACCACCACAGGGGTCTTTAAGGAAAGACAGAAGCTGGTCCAAAGGTAGGGCAGGGGTACAAAGCAAAATAACAACCACGTCTGTTGAGATTGATCAGGGAGAGCTACAAGTTCAGCTAATTGCTGGTGTAGCAAAGTTGGGACCCTGTAGTGCTTGTTGTGGGCCAGCAAGGACACGGCTGGGCCGTTTTTCAATTTTTTAAATATTTCTTTTAATTTTAATTTTTTATTTTAACATATTTTAATTTAAAATATTTTAAATTAAAAACTTTAAGTACTGTTTAAATTAAATTTTTAAATTTAAGAATATAATGTTTTGTGTGTATAGGCTTTAGTCTTGCATGTTTACTGTGCACCAAGTGCATGCCTGGTGCCAGCAGAAGAAGGTTTCGGATCCCCTGAGATGAATTAAGATGGAAGTGAGCCATCATGTGGGTGCTGGGTATTGAAATGTGGTCCTCTGGAAGAACAGTTTGTTTAACTGCTGAGCTACCTCCAGCCCTTGCCCAGGAAGTCCTTAAACTGAGACTATTTTTCTAATATCACTGAACTCAGGAAAAATATGCCCTGTTTCCATATAAAGGAAATACCCAGAGGTTCTAGAAGGTTCTTTGTGACTTGACAGTTGAGGCAGGGTTTCAAAAATAATAATAATAAAAATGACTTGAAGTTTTCTACAATCCATGCTGCTCTCCTACCCAGACATCCTCCGCTAATGCTAACAGCTCTGTTGGCAATGCCACTCGGAGAAAATATAAGGGGCAGGCTATGAAGAGGAACAACCCGTGAACCAATCAGAGTGGAGTATTCAATCACGCCACCATGTGGGCGACCAATAGGAATGCGGTGGGCTCTATAAAAGCAGAGCCCGCAGGGCACCTTGCGCACTTCAGGAGCAAAGAGAAGACCTTCGGAGCTTCGGGACGATGGCACGCACCAAGCAGACAGCGCGGAAGTCGACGGGAGGCAAGGCTCCACGGAAGCAGCTGGCTACGAAGGTGGCTCGCAAGAGTGCACCGGCTACTGGCGGCGTGAAGAAGCCGCACCGCTACCACCCAGGCACGGTGGCACTGCGAGAGATCCGCCGCTACCAGAAGTCCACCGAGCTGCTGATTCGCAAGCTGCCATTCCAGCGCTTGGTGCGAGAGATTGCCCAAGATTTCAAGACTGACCTGCGTTTCCAGAGCTCGGCCGTGATGGCGCTGCAGGAGGCCTGCGAGTCCTACCTCGTTGGGCTATTCGAAGACACCAACTTGTGTGCCATCCACGCCAAGCGGGTGACCATCATGCCGAAGGATATCCAGCTGGCTCGTCGCATTCGCGGAGAGCGGGCTTAGACCCCGCAGGCTCCTGGTCTTTGTGCTACCTTCAACCCAAAGGCTCTTTTCAGAGCCACCCACCAAATCTGAGAAAGTGGTTGTAAACTTTAGGTTTGACTTGGTGCCCACTTTGTGGGCAGAGATCAGAATAAGCTGGCTGGGAAGCCCAGTGAGCTGAGGCTTAGCCGTGGTAAGCTGGTGCAGTTCCCTCCCGATTTATAAGTCTTTGCGCGAATCTAACGTGATTGTAGTGGTACTGATCCTGCCTGGTAAAGAGTCCAGCTTTCACAGGCTGCAAATAACTGCCATAAACTGGTAATGCCGGCTGGACTTCTGGATTCACTCCGGTTAAAACTACTCTGAAGTCTCGCAAGTTTTTCGCTTTGGTTTAAAAGGCTGGCTACTCCTGTGCGTTAAAAGTTACCCTTTCATTGAAAACAAACATTTCTAGACTAAAAAAATAAAGTTAGCCTTTTTCCTACTATGGGAAGCACTATGAGCTGTGTTTTCTTAAGCTCTAGTCTGTTAACTGTCTCATGACGGCTAAAGAAAAAAGGTTTCCAGGAACACATCCAGAAGATCCTGGGCTTTATAGACTAATTTTCCATTTAGGGTAGGGAAGTCCTCCAGAGTGTTTTAGCATTGATGGTTAAAAAATAATAATAACCCTAGAAAAAGGTGTCCCTAAAATGCTAGTATTTTGAAGCCCATTAGGGCTTATTTACTCAAAACTCAAAAGCTCCATGACTTTAGTTTTCAAAACCGGAGATCGTGTAAAATTTAATATGTATGTAAATTAATGGCTGATGGTCCCTGGAGAGCCGTCCAGAAATCTTAGAAAGTCCAGGGACAATTGCCCCTTTCTCTTAAATCAGCTATAACTTAATGCTATTATAAAATATATCTATAGATGGGAGGTAAGGCCATGGCTCAGTGAATAAAGTGCTTGCTACTTAAGTGAAGTCCTGATTTTGATTCCCAGATCCCAGGTAAAAAGCCAGGTATGGTAGTATATACTTGTAATCCCAGGGCTGGGGACACAGAGTCCTGGGACTTGGTGGCCATAAGTTTAACCTACTTGGCAAATTGCTGTCCATCCAGTTAGAAATCCTGCCCAAAAAAAAAAGATAAAGTGGGGGTTGTCCAGATAGCTCAGCAGTTAAGATGCTTGCAGCTCCATGAGAGGACCAGTTTGTTTCCCTGCACCCACATAAGGTGACTGTTTCCTAGCACCCACATAAGGTGGCTCACAATTGTCTGTAACTCCAGCTCTAGGGAATCTAACACCCTTCTCCAACCTCTGAAAGCACCCACATACGAGTACACAGGCATGCTAGCAAGTGTGCACACACAAACAAAATAAAAGTTAAAATTAAAAGGTGTAAGGTTCCCATGGAACAACATCCAAAGTAGGCTTCTAAATTGCACATGTCTCTTAAACTCACCTAACAAGGATGTTACGGTGTGGGTGTGGGTTCACACAATCCATTAAAAGAAAACTCAGAAACACTTTAAGAATGAAGTTAATCATTGCAATGCAGGGGACCCCAGTTTCAAGGAACTAAAGTACATTCCCTGCGCCCAGAACATTTTTTATTTTTCTCTATATTTACACTTTAGCCAGTTGATTACTAACTTGAATGAGGCCTCCAAAAAGACAACGCCAAGGGCAAATTCTTGATTCATCAGGTACCACAGTTTTCCAGGTTTCCTGAACCAAGTTTTGCACAGGACTTTATCTTCTTGGGAAAGTCCCAACGTTCACATAAGGGAACAAAAGGTATCCAGTCTGTCAAAGGATGGATTAGGCTAAGTGCTAACTCTTTGGTAGTAGGCCAGGTGCCACTCAGCTGGTGGTTATAACGGGCTAGTTGCTATCACTGCAGCGCCAGATCAGCAGGGTACCTCTGTACTCACCAACACATTTAATAATGAAATACATAAATATGCACATGCCTCTGTATGTGTGTGTGTTGTGCTCTCAATATATATGAAGGTACACTTTTATGATTTGTGAGCCCAATGGACAGACTGTTAGGCAGTCATAGAAGGATCTAGAACTGCCCATTGACTAAGGCACATTTGGAAGCTTCTAGAACTTCAGTAGAGCAGCAGAAAGAATCTTGGGACTCCCTGTGGGCCCCACTCTCTAGCCAGCCCCAACACTCCTATTGCTCATCTGCAGGCTTCCCCCTTCCCTTCTCTCCCCCCCACTCCCTCCCCGTTAACCCCCAAGGACCATCTGCATAGAGTGCTTCCTCTGGACCTGGTAAGACACCACTGTCCAGCTTGGACTGCCATGAAAAGTCACTTGAGATGTGGTATCCAGGATATATTTGGCATTCAAAGTGTTCCCCTCACCTTAGAATATGACTTTATCTTTAAGGACAGGTAGGTGAGGTAATTAAAGTTGTTGGGATAATCTGAGGTCAGGGTAACAGGTGTCTTTGTAAGAAGGGATCAGGACACAGACATACAGAGGACATCGTGAGGACTGAGAGACAGCTGTCTGGAGCCTTTCAGACAGGAAGAAATGCCTTGTTGCCAGCGGTGGTGCAGCATCCCAGCACCTGAGAAACTGAGATGGGAAGATCACAGGCTTGAGGCCAGCCGGGAATACTCCTAAATAAATACTCTTTAAATAAATAAATAAATAAATAAATAAATAAATAAATAAATAAAAGGGTCTGTGACTGAATCTCCTAAACAATCCCCTACCATGAATGAGCACAGCTGGTATGGCTTAATGGTAGACCGTTGTATTGGGTGAGAGTTCAAGCAGCCCCAGGAAAGAAGTCACAGAGACACTCTAAGGATGAATTTTTTAGCCTTTCCAGCTAGCTGCAGGGGGTCTGCCTCACTTAGCAAAGGACGTTTTTATTGTTATACAATTCACACCTTTAGCAAGTTAATTTCCTATACCAAAACCTCTTACCGAAGCTCCTCAAAGAGACAATGCCAATGCGGATTCCGAAAGTCCCAGGACACCTCCGTTTGTGGAGTCCTCCTGTGACCAGGTTTTTGCATAGGCTTTGAACCCTTCAGAAAGAAGCTCTCAGATAGATTGTCTTCCAAAACTAAGGGTAGCCATCACAAAAGGCAGATCAAAAGCTAGGTGCTAACACTCCTGAATCAAGCCAACTGCAGAATTCTCATCACAGTAGAACGCCTACCTAGCCAGTGCAAGGTTCTGGGTTCAGTCTCTATCAACTACCACCCCTTAAAAATTTAGCAGGAATACTTTTTTATTTTTCTTCTTCCTCCATAGAACACAGAGAAGGCCTTCTGGAATTCAAAACAAAAGAAGCTGTGGACTCTTTCGGTGCCTGTAAGTATGGTGGAAATTATGTGACTCCAAAGCCACTGGTCACAGTGTGTGTGTGGGGGGGGGGCTGTCTTGCAGAGAGAGACAGAGGATCACTAACTCGGTAGTGAGGCACTGAACTGGCTTCAGATCAGCCAGTTACTGGGGACCATGGCTACCCTGTTTGTAATGTATCCTATCCCAACCAGACATGTGGAAACAGTCCTGTGGCTTGCTTGAGATGCCAAGCAACTTCTAGAGTCAGGTGGAGACTGAATGCTGAAGTCGGATGCTCTTTTCTCCAACCTTCTGTAAGTTAGTGCAGAAAGGACACCAGAGGGAAAAATTCCAAGTGCTTGCACGAGCAGAGCAATGCAGGTTGCACCCCGACCTGGTGTGTCCTGAGCTGTATCAAGACATCCTTGGGCAAGCCATGACTTTTCTTCAAGCCCCTCTTCCTCTCTTGGTCCAGAGAAACCTCCAGAGTGGTCTGTGTGTCTGTCTCTTCTAAAAGCCCTTTCTGCTTAGAAGGTGAACTCGGCCTACCCTTCTATTTTCTGTATTTCAGGCTGCAGTGGCATCTAGGACTTGCTGGTCCTGAATGTACTTTCTCCTGGGCTGCCCAACTCCTAGATAGGGAACAGGTCATTAGGACTTTGTATTTCATATACAGACCATTTATGTTGAGCTGGTTAAGAGAACTGGCTGCTCTTGCAGAGGACCTGAGTTTAGTTCCCAGCCCTCACATCACAGGACAGCTCATGACTACTTGTAACTCCAGCTCAGGGACTCAACACCTCTGGCCTCCATGGGCAATGCACTCTCATATACAAACCCACATGCATACACTGTAGGAGGACATGAGGTCCCATGCACACAGATAGCAATAGAGAAACCAGAATTTTTAAGCATGCATGCTCTCCTCTTCAGTGAGAGATTTACCCACCTGTTTCATCTAGAAGGCTGGGAATGGATGTTGTTTGTAGCCTGGTGATCTTTGCTATTCTGTAGGTTCAGGTTTTACCCTAAACCCCCAGACTCCTGAGCATTGTTTCTCAGTCAATAGAACCCATCCTTATGGAAGAAGTCCCATATACTTTGCAAAAGAGCTTTACTATTATGCTTACTACAAACCCCTCCTCTCTAGACTTATCCTGAGCCCTGTTTCTCAGTCACTAGAACTCATGAAAGTGCACTTTGCAAAAGACATGTGCTTTGCAAAGGAGTCTCGATGCACTTACATCTTAAGCTTTATTGTGATAACTGTTACAGGAAAACTTTTCTCCAAAGTTATACTGTGCTTAAACACATCAAAAACAAACCTTTTGGGGGTCAGACTCCAGAAGTTTGAACCAGCCCAGCTAAGTTGTGCTGACCTGGGTTTCCTTCTTGCCTCTTAGGGTTCATTTCTCAGCCAGCCATAGAGTTTGCAGGGATCCACACACATACATATGATTAAAAAGAAAAATCTTAAAAACCCACTATTACTCAGTTTGTGTTACTGTGACAGATGCCTGAGGCCATCTCCTTCAAAGGGGGAAGGTTTATTTTGGATCCCGATTTGAGAGTCTTCAGCATGGCTGTCTATTGCTTTGGGGCTCCTGGTGTCACTATTAATTGTGAACATAGGACAGGAGGTATTGTTCACCTCATGCAGGCAAAACATTCTAATCACCCTCCACAGACACACCCAAATGTTCTAACATCCTTCTGCAGGGCTCTGCTTCCCAAAGCATCTACCACTTCTTAATAGTTCCACACTATGGTGGCAAGGCCCTCAATACATGGCATTTTAGAGGACATTCCAATATTATATAGCAAGTACACACGGTGTGGTGTATAATACAGATTATATTGGTAAGCTATCGTGTGTTGTTTATATTTGTTGAGAGATGACCCTCTTCAAGTGTCCTCCAAGACTCCATGTCACAGGCTAGCTCCTAATCCTGAGACAAGGAGGACAGAATAGAGAACAACCAAGGACATTAAAATATCGTGCCCTTGCGAACAGCTAAAGAGAAAGCTATTTCCAGCAGTGGTTGACTGGCAAGGTGGCTCTGGAGGAAGGAGCTCGTTGCCAAGCCTGACTTGACCTGAGTTTGATATCCAGGATACACATGGAAGAAGAGAACCAATTCTTGCAAGGTTTTTTCTTTTTTGGTTTTTTTTTGTTTGTTTGTTTGTTTGTTTTTTTATGACCACTACATGTGTACCATGGCACTCACCCCCCCACACACACACACAATTAAATAAAAGCAATAAAAATGCTTAAAATTCCTACAGTGTAAACACAAAGCCAGAGATTTGTCCATAGATGAAAGCATGCTGCTCTGCCAGAAAAATCTCTCAGTTAGAAACTTCAGTAGTTAGCAAGATGGGCAAGGTGCTATCTGGGCAGCTGATATAGGGAGTGGGGAGCTGGGAGGGTGATGGGGTGGGAGGGTGTGTTCATTAGTACTGATTTGTTTGCTTGGGTTTTGAAAACTATTTTTTAAAAACTCCGTGGTTCCTTTGTCCAAATGTGTTAATGCCCATAAAGATGGTTGCACTCTACCTTGGCACAAGGACGGAGAGTCCAAAGCTGTCCTCAGCAAGTCATAAGACCTAAAGGTCAAAGGTGTGGCTATGGTAGGGTGTTTGGCTGTTTTATTCTAAATAACATCAGACCTAAATCTGAGGTGTGACTACTCCTGACTCTCAAGGCTAGAGAGCAAGCAGTTGAAGCTTAGGTATGGTTACTGAACCCTTAGAATAAGTGAGAATGAAAAGTCTGTTTGCTCTGTATACATGATACCATGTTCCCCTTTTTGGTTAAGGTATATAAGAGTGGTGAAAAATAAACTCCTGCCACTTTCAGTATTGACTGATCTGCCCTCCTGACTTTTATTCTGTGTCTCTGTTTTTTCTTTATTCTATATAGCTACCCTTTCCCTCATCCACACTCCCCCACTCAGGTACGGACTTGGGGCTGCTCGGCCAGTTCCGATTGCAGCCCCACAAAGTCAGCTTCTGACACAAATGGAACTCGGGACCAGAAGAAGCAGGGCTCAGCACCATGCTGCTGCACTCCCACCCTCCCAAGTGTCTGCTGGCTTCTCGCTGCCTACTGCACATATCTGCCAGGGAGGAGACTGCCCAGGGACATTCCAGCCCAGCCAGCTCTGGGAAAGCCAGCCATCTACACCTATAGCCACCATCTCCGAGAGCCAGGCTGTGTAGCCATGGGGATGATGTTCTGGTGCAGCTTGGCTGCCCAGCGATCTGATCCCCACCTGTTCTTTTTCCTTTACCCCGATAACCTCAGCTTTATCTGTCCAGTCGGTTTCTCAGTTGGTCTGAGACTCCAAGCATGCTGGGCCGCTGGATCAAAGTCACCCTGAGATCCCATTTGGTAGTGACCACCTGGAGAAGCTGTGGCAGGAGCCTGGCAGGGTTTTCAGTACAGCCAGTACTACACTCCTGGAACATCATCACAAACAAAATCCTGCAAGTGCTGCCAGGAACCTTCCCTACCTTCCGTTGGCACGGCTGCTTCCTCCCTGGTCTAGGAGCTGACGAAGTAGGAAAGCTCCGGCTGGCAACTCCAACCCCAGGCCCTGTCTTTAACCCAACAGCCCCAACTACTTCTCCTCTTGTTCCTCCTCCTTCTCTCCCCCCCCCCTCCGCCTCTTCGTCTTTTTTTTTTTTTGTTTGTTTGTTTTGTTTTGTTTTTTGTTTGTTTTTTTTGTTTTTTTTTTTTCCCCTTGGTTTTTTGAGACAGGGTTTCTGGAACTCCTGTAGGCCTGCAGACCGGGTTATCCTTAAACTCAGAGATCCACCTGCCTCTGCCTACCGAGTGCTAAGATTAAAGGCGTGTGCCACCACTGCCCGGCTTTTAGACCCAAACTTTTATATATTACCCTTTCCATTTTCCTGGCCTCCAACCCTGCAAACCCCACACAACCTTCAGTCCCAAACCAAAGCCCACTCATCTCAGTCCCCACCCCTCATCTCTTTCAGCCATCCATTGGTCCCGTCCCATTTATGTCCCCGCCCCTTTCTCGCTGGTCCCACCTCTCACTGGCGAGGCCCCGCCTCCATCCCACCTTGCCGCAGCCTCAGCCCCGCCCCCACGGCATACGTGCGTTGACGCCACAAAGCCCCTGTGACCCAGTCCCCAGCTTCTCTCTGTACTGTGGGCAAACCCAGCCTTTCCCGCACGCGGCGCACCTGGCCCTGGCACCTGGTGCAGGGCAAGACTTCTTCCCTGTGAGTGTTCACTGTCCAGAGAACTCCCCTCACCCCATGGGCCGAGACTGTAGGGCCCCCTTCTGTCCTGCTCCTGTCTCAGCCAGCCATTCTGTCCCCAACAAAGGCCACATTTCGAACCATAGGCTTCAACCGTAGACCACTCTCACTACATAGGTCTCCTATATGAGCCTTCACTGACAGGACTTTAGGTGACCAAGAGCCTCTACTCTAGAGGAGCCAGGTCCCCTAGCCCTCTCTGTCCGGTTCTGAACAGGTGGTCAGCGGTGCACCCCTCAGGGCTCTTGAGATTCGGGAGGAGCTCACAGAAAGTTCAGATGACATTAACGTGGCAACCACTCTGGAATATCTGAAAATACCTTGACTTTAGGAATTGAGAGGAGGGAAGTACTGAGTCCAAACTCTCAATAAGGACCAAGAAGTAGTGTGGGTGCAGTTCATGGTCTCCATTGCCTCGAGTAGGACGACTCGGGGGGGGGGGGCAGTGCATTGTACATGTGTTTATAAGAATGTGTGGGTGTGCGTGCAGGTGTACATATGTGCCTGTGCAGGTGTGTTGTACGTGCTTTCAGAGTGCATCCATGTTCACATGCCTGTGCTTGTCACCGTGTAAGTGTGCTTGCACGTTTTTTTCTGTCGCTGTGTTCATGTGTGGTTACAAACATGTTTACCTGTGTGCAAGCTTGTATGTACATGTGTCTACATGTCTACACATAGGCCCTGTATTTGTGTGTACATGTATTTGTGTGTTCATGTATCTGCACGGAGCCCCTATATCTGTATGTTTGGCGTGCCCTTTCTGCATTGCGTGTTAACCGAAAGGGTCTTCATTCCTTTTAAGTTTGTTTTGCCAGAGTTTTGTTAAGGACATTATTCTGAAGCTTGGCTCTATTGCAGCCTTTTGGGGTGCTAGTGTGGCCCTAGGGCAAAGGTAAGGCTTGACTGCAAATGTACAACAGTTGGAGAGTCCCAGAAGCTCAGCTGACCTAGGGGCCAAGCAGTCAAGGCTCAGGGGTCTGGCTAGCATTTGTTCAGTGTTTTTGTATCCCACATGGGGATACCAGCTTTTGTCCTCCTCCATACAGAGGAAGTATGCATGGTGCACAGGGGCCCAGGGGAGTTGGCCAGGGCATCAGTTCTGTGATTCTACCTGCCAAAGGGTTACAGGGGAAACCTCCTCTTGTTTCTCCCCAGGAGCCATGGATGCTGTGGAACTTGCCAGAAGGTTGCAAGAGGAGGCCACATGTTCCATCTGCCTGGACTACTTCATTGATCCTGTGATGACTGCCTGTGGCCATAACTTCTGCAGAGAATGCATCCAGATGAGCTGGGAGAAAGGGAAGGGCAAGAAAGGGAAGAAGAAGCAGAAAGGCTCCTTCCCCTGCCCCGAGTGCAGGGAGATGTCCCCTCAGAGGAACCTGAGGCCCAACCGCCTGCTGACAAAGGTGGCCGAGATGGCCCGCCAGCACCCAGGGCTGCAGAAGAGAGACCTGTGCCAAGCACACCAAGAGCCCCTTAAACTGTTCTGCCAGGATGACCAGAGCCCCATTTGTGTGGTCTGCAGGGAGGCTCAGGAGCACAGGCTGCACAGGGTGCTGCCTCTGGACGAGGCTGCAAGAGAATATAAGGTGAATGCAAGTTCAGGGGCTTCCATGTCCAGAAGGAGCTGTGGTCAACACTGGGGAAGTACGGCCAGGGGCTCGTGATCCCTGGTTGGGAGTGGGGGAAATTCTGTCAAGCTGGCCTCTACTTACGGTTCAAGAAATGTAGGACTTCATTTCACAATAAGAGCACTGCTGCTAATGGGGGGGGGGAGGGGAGAAACAGAACGGTGGTGGGAAGACAGGCACAATAGAAATGTATGTAGGTTGGAAGCCAAGCAACTTATTCTGTCTTAGGACAGAATAGGTATGTGACTGGTCAATAGTATCCATGTTTATTAATGAGTGATCTAATTAAGTGTATAGCAAGCAAGAGTAAAAACAATGAGTAGCTGTAGAGAAATGCAAAGAAAAAAAAAAGTCATCAGTGGAGTTTACAAGGTTCAGCAGAGACAGTCGAGGGAGTAGCCCGATCAAGAGAGCAAAGGCAACATTGTCAGATCCTGGACTTAGAAGCATCAGCAGAATAGATGGGGCAAGTTGAGGCAGCAGTCAGCTGGAGTTTGCTTCCTTTCAACTGAGTTTTCCTTCAGTGGATGTTTCTTGTGACTGAACTTCTGGCTTCTCATTTCCACTGATGCGTTTTCATGTCACAGGATTAATTATTGTAACCCTGTTTGCAAGTGGCTTGTCTTCTAGCTGTTCTTAAGGGCACATTTTTATTCTTGGGCTATTTGCTGTTTGTTTGTTTGTTTCCCTACTTGTCACAGAGTTGGGGGGGGAAGGGGGGAGTCAGCCAATCCCAGGACAAGGAGCTTTCAAGGACATTTTGAGACAAATGTGGCTGAGTGTAAAAATAGATGCAGGGCAACCCTGTTTGCTTCCAAAGCCAGCTGCTCAGTGAGTTCAAACATCATAGGCAATTTACCTATATAGTGTTTATTACAGTGATCTAACTTCCAAAACCCAGGTCACCAAAAACTCCTTTCCTGAACCTCATAGCTCTAACTCATGGCCTATGGCCTGCCATGATCAATGGAGTGGGAAGCTGGAACATTCAGTCATCCAGTTTTATTTCCTGACTGAAGGGCATTGCTCAAGTGTGTTGTGTTCTGAAGGCCTCCACTCCCAAGCCATCTGGTTTTTTGTTTTGTGTTTTATTTTGTCGGGGGTGGGGACTGCCTGGTTCCCTGAGCTGCCATAAGAGGGTCTCTGGGGCCAGTGAAGCCTGAGAGACCACAGTCCAGACATTGGCAGAGATGGGACCAGCTGACCCAAGGATTGTGTTTGTGTATCCAGACGAAGTTGGAGGAAGACATAAAGTATTTTCGGGAGGAGATGATGAAGACAAAGACTCTGCAAGCCAAGGAGGAACAGGCCTTAACTGAGTGGCAGGTGAGTGTTCAGTGGCAGCCATTCTACCCCATGTGTCCATATCCATCCTCATCCGTGATGGGCGGGAAGTGCCTTTCAGGGTGAGGAGGCTTCAGGTTTGGTGGCTGAACTGAGAATTAAGTCCGCACAAGACAGGTAAGGGGGATTTTAAAAGGTTCAGATAAATTTTTTAGAATTAATTTTGCCTGCATGTGTTTATTTAAAATGTGCATGCAGTGCCAGATAAGGCCAAAAGAGGGCACCGGACCCCCATGGAACAGGATTTAAAGGTGGGTGAGCCACTATGGGTGCTGGGAACCAAACTCTGGTCCTGTGGAAGTGCCTTTAACTACTAAGTCACCTCTCCAGCCCTCTTTTAAGCGATTTTTTTTAATTAGCTCAGATTTTAATAGCTTTATTTCAGAATCAGTCAATGCTCCCATAAAAATAAATGTGGGCTGCACCTTTGATCCTAAAGACTGAGGAGGGGTACAGATTGGCCATTCCATTTCAAAGTTATCTTCCATGTAGGGTGGGATCAGGGAGACAAAATGAAAATTACTAGTTGGTTAACAGTCGGTCATCTTGTGGTACTGTTGGGCAAGGATTGACTTCCTCCTGTTCACTGGAAACGACTTATTTGGGGGAGTTGAGCTTGTTGGTATATGTGTATATGTGTGACCCAAGAACTCAAGGAAGGAAAAAAAAAAAAAAAAAAACAAGATCTGTTAGCTCAAGGTCAGCCTGGAGGACATAGCCAGTTCCAGGCCACCCAAGGGCTACTTGTGAAGATCCTGTCTCAGAAGAGGAAGGAGACAAGTACAACACACACACACACACACACACACACACACACACACACACACACACACGGGGGGGGGGGAAGAGGAAGGCAGGGAGGGAGGGGCCTGTTTGGGAAGTTTAGCTATTGTCTGTGAAATTCTGATTTCTTAGGAATTTTGGCCAGCAGCTTTAGGGACATGGGTAACTCCAATAGGACTTTTAGCCTGGTCATTAGGAACCTTCTGTCCCTTTTATGAACCATGCCTGTGTCCTTCCTTGAAGGTGGCACGTTCTGAACCCACCCACACCAGGACACACAGACATTTGAATGCGTGGATGCTGACATTCAGGGTCTGATCTGTTAGGGTGTAACATGGATGATAAGGGACCACTGTTAAAGGTCCTGGTTCCCAGTTTGCCCAAGAGTTCTAGGTCACCAAGTGTCCAGAATTGCTGTGTGGCAATATTGAAGGAAAGCCATCCTTTCTGGGCACATCTCATAGCCAGGCTGTGTGTGTGTGTGTGTGTGTGTGTGTGTGTGTGTGTGTGTGTGTGGTCCCCACTCCCACAGGAGAGAGTGAAGGAGCGGAGAGAGCGAATCTTGGAGGAGTTCCAGAAGGTGGTCCTGTTTCTGGTGGAAGAAGAACGCAGGCTTCTCCAGGTCCTGAAGAAGGAGGAAGAGGATACCTTGGGGAGGCTGCAGGACAGCAAGACCTCCCTGGATCGCCAGAGCCACTCCCTGGACGTGCTCCTGCTGCAGCTGGAGGAGCAGAGCCAGCAGGAGCCGCTCCAGATGCTGCAGGTGAGGCCAGAGGGTGTTGTGGATCCTTGGGTCTTTCCCTGTGCTGCCACAAACCTGTGGGTGCACCGTGAGGTGGGGCATGGCCTGAGAATATGCACTGCGCCCAGGAACTTGTGAAACAAATGCATCCTGACAGACGGGGTGGGGTTGGGCTGGGCCAAGGGCCACCTACCCACCCCATCCCAGTGTTAACAGCAAACATCTCATGCTGCCCACCAGCATGTGTGCGCGCGCACACACACACACGCACACGCACACCACTCTGAGGGAGAAACAATATTTACAACAGAGTTCTGGGAACCCAAGGGCATGGTACTGCAATTTGCTGTCTTCTGGTGCAGGCCTAGTGATAAAGGGCCAGTCAGCATCTGCTAGAGTGAATGAGGCAGGCACCTCCGTTCACCCTGATGGACCTGGGCCTAATCACCTCTTAAGGACCCACACTGTGACTGCTTAACACTGCAACACTAGCAATTAAACCCCAGCCTGGTTTTGCTGGGAACATACCACCACATCTAGTGGCAGTGGGCCACTGGGGAATGCTGTAAATGCATGCATTTTCCAGGCCAAGATGTTAATGGTGCTTGAGGAGTCTGTAGATTCTGAGTTCCTAGAAACTCTCCAGGGACCCCAGGCTCACCCTCTTCAGACCATGTCCACTGTACGCCCTGCCCTCATATTTTGTCCCATTGTTCTATGCATCTTAACTGGATCTGCAGCTTCTTGAGTCCAAAGAAGGAAACCCAGGACACTGCCCACTGGCTTCATTTGTGTTCAGCTAGAAAGCATTGAAGGGAAAACGCTGGAAGTAAACAATCCTTAAGTTTTAAAGGGCATGCTGTTCTGGGGATACTTGAATAAAACCCACCCAGGGTCTGAGCCACCCTTTTGTTCACTCAACCTATGCTGTGTGTGAATTATCACCAGTAACTGTCTTGGCTGTGAAAGCTACTAGGCAGGGAGGAATCTTTGGGTGCACACAAGTAACACCTAGTTAATAATGGCTCCAAGCACAGGATCAGGGAAGCTCACAATTTACTTGTGCCACAGAGAAGCCTGAGGGGTCCTCTTTAAGGGAAGCTCTGTGCAAGTCGTGTGCTGGGGTTGTTTAGGTGGACAAGCGGCACAAGCTTACTATAGTGCATTGTTAGGGATGGTTCTGTTCTATTCTGTTAGCATTTTCCTGTGCCAGACTCATAAACTGCACCATAACACACACACACACACACACACACACACACACACATACACACACACACACACACGGTGTGTACAAGGACTACTGATCCAAGGCTTACTTGCCTCAAAGGGAGGACGAATTGAATAAGGACAAGGACATTGGAGTGGTGTGGCTCACTGGTAGAGTGCTTGCTTAGCAGGGGCCCCATGTTCTGTCTCGACTACTGAAAAGGTAAGCGCTACAGGTTTCCCAGAACTTGCCACCTCCTCTCCACTGACCTCAGGCTTGTGACCGTGGACTGAAGAGATGCTTAGGGTCTGCCAAGTGGAGGTGAAGGGAAGATCCAGAGAGTATGTGAAGCTGTTATCTGGGAAGGGAATGTCCAGCAGAGGACATGTCCCCAAGTCGGGGGCAACAGAGGCAACTTAGATACTGGCAAGTGGTAGGAGCTCTTAACTGTCCTCCCTGTTGTTTGCAGGATATAAAGGACACCTTGACCAGGTACTCTGTCACCCGCAGCAGAGATAGTGTGGAGGTGGGTGAGGGAGGCCCACATGGAGAGCTGGGGAGCACATGAGTCTGTGTTCCCTGGAGGAAGGAGAGCCTCAGTATGCAGTACCCAGAGGTGATCCTCCCGGTGGCTATCAAGACGGTGTGCAGAGTTCCAGGGCAGATAGAGGTGCTCAAAAGTTTCCAAGGTAAGCAGAGACCCGGGTCTCCAACCATGAACCCCAGTTTTCTGGGCACTGCTGTGTCTAACCCGGACCCAGGACCAGAGCTATCAACTGGAGATAAGTGTTTTAAACTGGAGTTTAACATTCTTTCCAAGTCTGACCATCTGCGGAATTAAGATTGCCCCAGTTAGCCCCATCACCAATCTCCACGGGGGTTTGGAGTGTGCAACCCTTAAGTTACCCCAATTGTCAGCTGGGACTGGTGAAGGGGGGGAGGCTTTTGAGTGAATATGGAAAAGAGCCATTTGGCCACCATGCCCCTCCACCGCCTACCTTGAGGGTTCTGGCCCTTCCACTTTTGGCCTTGAATGACCCCTACTGTTCTCTGTCCACCCGGACCCTCTGCAGAGGCTGTGGTGCCGGACCCCAGCTCAGCGTACCCCTATCTCCTCCTGTACGAGAGCCGCCAGAGGCGATACTTGAGCCCACCGCCAGAGGGCAGCGCCCCCTACAGCAAGGACCGTTTCGTGGCCTACCCCTGCGCTGTGGGACAGAAGAGCTTTTCTTCTGGAAGGCACTACTGGGAAGTGGGCATGAATCTCACCGGGGATGCACTCTGGGCCCTAGGCGTGTGCAGGGACAACGTGAGCCGAAAGGACAGAGTGCCCAAGTCCCCGGAAAATGGGTTCTGGGTAGTGCAGCTGTCCAAGGGAAAGAAGCACTTGTCCCTGTTACCCGACTCCATTCCAGTCACACTCACGGAACCTCCCAGCCACATGGGTATCTTCCTGGATTTCCAGGCCGGGGAGGTGTCCTTCTACAGTGTGAACGATGGGTCCCACTTGCACAGTTTCTCCCAGGCTGCCTTCCCTGGGCCGCTGCTGCCGTTTTTCTGCTTGGGTGCTCCAAAGTCGGGCCAGATGGTCATTTCCTCAGTGACCATGTGGGTGAAGGGATAGAGGTTTGGGGCCAGGCACAGTCGCTGGGCGTGCCCGGGTTCCCCGGAAGGCAGGACGCTTCACCACCGTGGCTACCTACCCAGACTTTCTCTAGGGTCGCTAAGAGGCGACACCTATGCTGGCAGGGCAACTAACTGAAATACAATCAAGATTAAAATGCTCAAATATGAACCGATTGCTGATAAGATGCTAGATGGGGTAACTTTGGAACGAGTACCGACATTTCCGAGTGAACTAATTTCTAAATATATACCTGCTCACTGTGCAAGTTGGTCTTTCGTTTTGTTAGCTTTTTCCGGACCCAAAGCTTGCTAATACCTTGGTTCCTAGTGCCCCTCTCTAGCTATCCGGTCCTTCACAGAGGAAGCGGAGCCCCGCCCCCTCCCCCTTAAAATAATTAGGGAGAGCTCCTCTTTCCTTCCTCCACGTACACGTTCCTAACACTCCCTTTCCGAAGAACCCCTCACTCTCCATTCCTGTTACACGCGCATTTCCCAAGTGGTTTACACCGAGTTTTCTGAGCCCGCGGTATGACACCGCGTCTCTTTCCCCACCCCGGATTACTCAGGTCTGTCCCCAGTCATGAGGGTGGCGCTGGGGGTGTCTGAGCGACAACAGTCCAGGGGTGCTGAGGGTTGTGGACACAGGATGAAAGTGCACTAAAAACCGCCAACACCATTGCCCACCGCTTGGGTGTTTCTTCTCCTCGGAATCGTCCTGCGCCTCAATGCTCTTCTACAACCCTTCCGGAACTTGCGGCTGAAGTTTACATCAACGGGGCCAGGGGAAGCGGGGACACTACCTGCAGAGACCTGTCACTGTAAATGTGCGCTCTAGAGCTCTCTGATTCGGTCCCACCCCCAGGCCGTGTGACAAGCAGTGACCAATCTACGACAAAAGCGGGTTCCAAAAAAAAATAAATAAAACCAGTTTCCTGCTTCCGCCGCGGTTCCTCTTCCGGCGGAAGTGTCAGAGCCTAGTACCGGGAGTACCCACTACGCCGGGGGCCGGGAGTGTGGCCACCTGGTCCGGACCCGTGCCTCTTACGTCCCCACTACCGAGTAGCCTGTTCCCCGCGCGCGCCAAGAGCCTGATCCAGGCGCTGCAGCCCGCACCATGGCTGCCCCAGACTTGTCCACCAACCTCCAAGAGGAGGCCACCTGCGCCATCTGCCTCGATTACTTCACCGACCCGGTGATGACCGACTGCGGTCACAACTTCTGCCGCGAGTGCATCCGACGTTGTTGGGGCCAGCCCGAGGGCCCGTACGCGTGCCCCGAGTGCCGCGAGCTGTCCGCGCAGAGGAACCTGCGACCCAATCGCCCGCTTGCCAAGATGGCAGAAATGGCGCGGCGCCTGCACCCGCCGTCGCCTGTCCCACAGGGCGTATGCGCGGCGCACCGCGAGCCGCTGGCCACCTTCTGTGGCGACGACCTCTGCCTGCTGTGTCCCACCTGCGAGCGCTCGGAGCACTGGGCTCACCGGGTCCGACCGCTGCAGGACGCGGCCGAAGACCTCAAGGTGCGTTCTGCCAAGTGCAACCGGTCCGTGTCTGGAGCAAAGGGATGTCCCGTCACTGTCCCGTCTTGGGTGAGGGAGTGTGAGTTAACCTGATCCTGTGGGAGGGTCGGGACGTAGTCTGCCTTATTCCAGGATGAGATGCACAGGCATTCTGGGGAAACTGGGTGTTGGTTGTCAATCCTGACTGGCCAGGGAGAACTGAAGGGGCCACTGTGAGAGTAACAGTTTGACTGACATCAGAGTTGATACTCGGCCAGTATGTTACTATCCCAGCATGAAATCAGGCACCAAGTCTCCTTGGCTTTGGTTTTCAGCACAGGGGTTTGGAGCTTATAAACAGATCCCTGAGCTTTGGGATCCCAAGTGTTTGCTTGATCCATACCGGATTCATTGGTTCAGCTGGCTTACTTTCCTGCCACCGAAAGCCCTTTGATGGTGCTGAAAGGGACCCACATCTCTCCAGAAGTGACAAGATAAATCCTACAGGGGCAACACTAAAGCTGCTCTGTTCAAAAGAAGAAAAACCTTGTCTTCGTTCTTGCTAGGTTCATTGTCTGAACTTAACAATTAAAGTGACGAGACATGAACAGGAGAAAGGCACAGCTCAAGTAATATTTTAAATTTCTCCTGCATAGGGGTCACACAAGGAAAAGGGAAACTCAGAGAAGCAGGTATTAGGGCTTTTATCCAAAGGGGTGTAGAGTTACCAGAGAGAGACTGGGACTTCTAGGTCTCATCAGTGTGGACCTGTCTAGGAAGGAGGAGACTAATGGAGGGTGCCTCCCTCCTGTAGAACTGATGCTCTCTGCCTTCTGCCCACCTATGTATCTGTGTCTGTTCAGTAGCCCTCACCTCCACACAAACATAACAGCACCCAGGCAGGTTTGGGTGTGTGGACACAGCTTGCCTTATCAGGTGATACCAGGAAATCTGCAGATGGTTTTTACCTGTGACCACTGGAGCTTGGGATGGGGGTGCCTTCCCAAGCTGGCCTTCATGTCTCAGGTGACAAGTTCACTCTTTGGCACTGTCCCAGAGGGGAGCCTCCAGTTCTCCAGTAAAACCAGAGAGATGGGAGAGTTCCATAAGCAGGAACTGGGAGTTGAGGGGAGAACCCAGGCCTGACCCAGGGCCTCCTGGGTTCCACTCAACTTTCACCACACCCAAGGTAGGAAGTCTGCACCAAGACCTAACCAATGATAGCTTTATGTGCAACCAGAACTTGAAGTTTTTGCCAAAGTGTACACATGCTGCTGCTTCATAAGCCCACCCTGTTTAAAATGCTGTCCCTGGCCTCAGCATTGGAAGTGGCAAAATGGAGCCAGACCGATGTCTCAAGTACTTAGAATTTACTGCTCTTCCAGACTGCTCAAGTTCTGTTCCCAGCATTCATACTGGGCAGCTCATAGCTGCCTGTAACCCCAGCTCCAAAGAGAGCTGACATGCCTGGCCTGTATAGGCATGCACACTGAAGGGCACATCCTACTTGCAGACATACACATAATCAAAATAATAAAGATAATTTCTTAAAAATGAGAAAATGCCAAGTATGGTGGCTCATATATGTCATGCCAGCTACTCAGAAGGCTGAGGCGGGAAAATCAAAGTTCAGGCCTACTTGGGTTACAGTAAGTTCAAAGCCAGTGCAGATAGTGTAGTAAGATCATGTTATAAAATAAAAAGAAGGCTGGATGTAACTGGGTGGTAAGGCACTCACTTAGCATTCATGAGGCCCAGGGTTCCAGGAAAAATCACTGGAAAGACTCAGGCAGAGCTCAGAACATAAGCTGGAGGGAGGTGTACATGATGATGGTGCCAAGTGATAAAATAGGCCCGAATTTCCAAGAGAAGTTAGGTTAGGCAGCATCTGGGACAAGCCTGTGGTTCCTACCATTGCTCTGCTGAGGGCTGGGCCCAGCCAGCAGCTGGTTCCATATCTCCTCCATGACTGACCTCTGGATTTCCCCCAGCACCTTGTCCAGGCCTGGAGTTGATGAGGTCTGGATTGATACAAGCAGACCCTACTGAGATAAACACAAGCCACCCAATTGGCCTGTTTATAGGAGTGCCTGCCATTCTGTAGTACACAAAACTGCAAGAAAGGAAATGGGAACTGTATCAGGTCCAACCTAGGAAAATACAGCCATCCAATGAAGGACTGGGAGAAAGGTAGGAAGTCTATTCTGAACTCCTGTGGTACAGTCCCTCCTGTGCTAACCACAGACAGCGATGACACACAGCCCTGGAGGCTGTCCAGGGTCAAGGCTTATCTAGTAAGGGCTGCTTCCTCCCTCACAAGTGGCCCCCTTCTTGCTGTGTTCGCATGAGGAAGAAGCAGGGACTCTCCAAACCCAATCACCTCCCAGAAGTCTAGCCCATCACCTAGGTGGTCGATAATCATAAGTGGTCGGGTATGCAGCTTGGGAATTTTGAGGGGTACTCTGACTTGCTGTGACCACGGGAAGAGGAGGGGACAATGGATTGGAGGGAGGAAAGCTCAGTTTTCACTGCCAGCTTGGTGGGTATGCCCTGTAGAGGGAGCCTGGATGCTCCCACCAAGCAGGGAACAAGGTATCAACTTCGCAGAGGTGAGCAGAGCTGGTTTAGGGCCACGGGGCTAGAACAGAAAATGAGGAGAAACCTTGACTATGTCGTTTGGTGAATTTGGGGAAAGGGAAGGGTTCTGTGCTTTGATCACTAGAGGGGATACTACCAAATCAGGAGGGTACCTGCCAGTGGTGGGCATTTTAGCCTGCCATTATCTGAACAAATTTCATTTGGCCCAATGGGGAAGAGGTTGGGATAGGAGGTCAGGAGGGAAAAGGCAGATTTCTGTGTCTGGGCCCCACCTATATAGGGCCCAATGCTGATTGAGATTCTCATGGCACCGCCTGGTCTCCATCTCACCAGGGGAGGCTGGAAAAGTCACTGGAACACCTGAGGAAACAAATGGAGGATGCGATGCTGTTCCAAGCCCAGGCTGAGGAAACCTGTGCCTTGTGGCAGGCAGGTGCTGGGTCTGGGGTGAAGGAGGGAGCATCGAGACACCCTATGGTCAGGCCAGAACATGTGCATGTGTATAAGATGCCAAAGTTGGATTCCATCCTTCTGCCATACACTATGTACCCAGGGTCCTGGCAAGCTGTCATGAGGGGTCCCAAGGATGGACTTGGATTGGATGTCATAAGCAGGCCAGGTATAGGGGGGTGGCAGTCTCCAGCAGTGGATTTAGGGGTCAGGGAGGTATTTGGCACTAGGGTAGATTTGGTCTGTCTAGCTTTGTGAGTGGTGGCAGGTTTGTCTGGCTGACATCTGGGGATGGGCTTGGGGCCTGTATGATGGATCTGGAGTCTGGGTAGTAATGGGTGGTAAATTAGAGGTTTGAAGGCTCCAGGGGTGGGCTTGGGTTGTGAATTGTCCAGAATTGTCAGCCATGTATCTGGGCAGCCATGAATGACAGATTGCATATGTTGTCAGCTCTTGGGGGTCTAGGCAGCTCCTGGTGGTGTGTTCTGTGTCTAATGGCCAGTCTCTGGTCTGGCAGCAGGTCTTGCCCTCAGCTGTCCTCCTTGTGCCCCACAGAAGATGGTGGAGAGCCAGCGGCAGAATGTGCTGGGTGAGTTTGAGAGGCTGCGCCGCCTGCTGGCAGAGGAGGAGCAACAGCTGCTGCAGAAGCTAGAGGAAGAGGAGCTGGAGGTGCTGCCAAGGTTGCGCGAAGGTGCCGCGAGACTTGGCCAGCAAAGCACGCAGCTGGCAGCCCTCGTCTCCGAGCTTGAGAACCGCTGCCAACTGCCAGCTCTGGGGTTATTGCAGGTGAGTGAGCTGGGTAAATCCTGGAGGTTCACGGTTCTCCCCACTGCCTCCTCTCCAGACACACAGGGTCTGCACCTTCCTACTGCAGGGTTGCCACTGGGCATGCGATACAACCCAGGCCCCAGCTCTGCCTCCTCCACCGCTGACACATATGGGCCATGCTGCTACATAATGTGTCATACCATGCTCAGTGTTGGCAAAGCTTGTCTATAACAAGTCTGCAGAGAGCCTGGTGTGCCCATCTCTCCTGGAAATACCACGGCAGCTAAGACAAGGTATCCCAGCATTCTGCCACCCCACACTCATTGTGATAAAAGAAAGAGAAATAGTCTTTGGTGTCCATGGAGATGGATGCCAGCCCCGCAAGGCTCCCAATGGGAAAACACCAGTTCCTTGAATGAAAGGATGTGGCGTTTGTGTGTCGGCTGCACACATCCCCTGCTTGCGTCCTCTGCCTGCCCTCAGTCACTGCTAGCTGACCTGAGACCCTGAATATTCTGAACATGCTGTTAAATAGCTGCTGCTCTATATTTAAGGGATAATGAGGAGGGCAAGCGTCATGTGTTTGGTCCAGATGTGATTTTACTTTCAGTCCATAGTCGGTTGAGTGTACAGGTGCAAAATGAGGGCATACATTGGGAAGGAACACCTTGTAAGAAGTCCCGGCATTCAGCTTCCTATTTTCTCAGGCTGACTGACCACAGTTGCTGTTCTCTGTGGACAAAGAGCGGACGTGGATCAGCCTGTGTACCTTGGGGGACAGGATAAGCCTTGTTTCGCTCCCAGGGATGCTTTTATCCCTTGTTCTTGCTCCTGGGCCCCCGAGAGCCCTTGGTAGGACTCCCACCCCAAGGCTTTCAGCCTGTGTTGCATACTCCCTACTCCCCACCCCTCCTGGATGTCCAGTTATCTTTGTGGGGGGTGTCCCTATCATTTCTGTTATAGCAATGTGAGACTGGGGAGCTGAAGTCAAGCAACAGCCTCTGATAAGGGGCTCTTGGAACACTCAGGACAAATCACTTTAGAAAAGTCCTCATAAGACCTCATGGTAGGGATTAAATTTTGATGTGCATCTTGACAGAGACATTTGAACTGTAGCAAGTCCCTTAGTGCCTGTCTTCTTCTTTTTTTTGGGGGGGGGTTGTTATCCCTAAGATGTATGCTCCAATCCTACTCTTCCCTGAATCTGGCTTTCTCATTTTCCCCAAAGCAGAACACTCAGGTCCCCTGTCCTCTGTCTCAGGGCAGTCTAGATGACCGTGAAAAGCGTGGCAGTCAGTTCTAGGACCCTTCCGCAGGCTCAGGGCCTCAGTTTCCCCATCTGTCTAGTGGGCATTGATGGGATTCAGGGGTGACTACTGAATTCAGGCTGTGGGGACCACTGTTGCCCTTCCTTAGGGGCCTGGCTTTGCTTTGTGCCATCCCACACCTCAATGCCATCTGCCTGGCATATAGATTTGGGGGTCTAAGACTGGCTGTCTGCCATTTGTGTAGGACAGAGACAGTGTCTTTCCTCTGGGGCCCAGGTGCTGGGTACATAGTAGGAGGTGGCTCACTGGGAAGAGACACCTAGGGATTTTGACCTTTACCAAGCTTTCAAATGGTTAGAGCCTGCCAAATAGAAATGTCTCTGTGTGCTTTTAGAGGGAGGACTAGAGAAACAGAGGAATGGAGACAGAAGCCTATGTCAGTCAAGTAGATGAAGTGCACCGACATGCCTCCTACCTGATCTTTGTGTCTGTTTGTGTGCGCATGCATGTGTGCGTGTTTATGTCCATTCAAATCTCATACCCCTCCTTGAAGATAAATATACATTGCTATATGTTGTGTTTTGTTTGTTTTGTTTTGATTTTTGGTCACTGTAAGGTGTTCATATTCATGTGAGCAACTCGTGAGACTCACTGATACAGACAGGAAACACGAGAAATCAAGCCTGTCTTGTGGCTCATCCACGGGTTGTTAGCCACAGTCACCCTGCTGGACTATAGAAAACAGAATGCTGGAAGGTTTTAGGAAGAAGGGGTAACTTGGAAATGGGGGCATAGAGATCTGTGTGACCAGATTTGGTTTGTTTTTGTATGTGCTGATTTCAGGCAGCCACTCACATTTCATATCACCAGGCTGCCTAGCTGCCACCAGTGTCCCCAACCGTTCCCTCACTTGTGTCTCACTGCCTCCTGCTGCCCAACTGTCCCCCCACACCTCCACCCCCCCACCCACCCCCCACCCACCCCTCCTCCCGTCCACCAAGCTTTGCTAGGAAAGCCTTATCTGCCTGCTGGCGCGGGTTATGCCCATGTGTGGGGGTTAGGAAAGCAGCCCTTGCTTCATCCATTCTGTCCCTATGAGCTGCTGTTCATTGTCTAGGGTGAAAAGAGAAGTCTAAGGGGTTCTATGCTCTCAGCCCCAGTCTGCAGGGTCCTTCTGCTGAGTGTCTAAGGCCTGGTGTTGTCACCTATTGCCTTTTGGGCAGGGGTCACTCACAGGTGAGGGTTGGGAGGACATGGAACCCATCTATGTTTGCTGATAGCCCCTCTAGGCTGACATGCTCTATAGAACAGAGTTGATTTTTGTCATCCCTGAATAGCTGAGTCTAAGGAGGCCCCTTACCTACTCTGGAGGCCAAGGCTCTGCTATCATGCTGTGCCGTCCTTGCCTCGGGCCATGTGGCCACTAGTGCCCCCAACACACCTGTTTCCAAAAGGGTGGGAGATGGGAGATTTCGTCTGCTCTGCGCACATCAGGCTCTTGGTGCTCCAGGCTCATGCACATGCACCCTCCCCTGTATCTTCCAGGGAATCCACATTCGCCTCCAGAGCCTTCTTTTTTGAGGCCTTTGTGATCTGTTGTCTCCCAGACAGAACTTTTAAGTATGATCCCATCTGCAGGGACCTTCTCCCTTGACAGGGACTGTATCTTACTTACCATGTCTGAAAGAAGGCCAGGGCTTACAGGAGCTGGCTAGCTGCATGTGCCTCTCAGCTCTACTTCCATGTAAAGTGCAGTAGGCTGAGTGCCTGACACACAGAACGTCACTTCCTTATGATACTGGGGGCTGGAAGTAGAGGACAGGGTTTCAGCAGAACTAGTGTGCTAGTTTATTTTGTTGCTGTGAAATACCCAAGGCTGGGGGCCGAAAGTCCAGGCAGCATGCTGGCAGCTTGAGTGGGTGACAACTTGGCTGCGTCGTGTTATGGCAGTGGCATCATACTGCAGGGGCCTGAACAAGGGAGACTGCTTGGTGAGATGGGGGCTAGAGGAGAGGAAAGGGCCAGTGTGCTGTTAACTAAGAGCTACCCAGGGTCCACGCGAACTGTATTATATTAATTCCTTCCAAGGGTAAGCCCCTGACACTTCCCTTTAGATGGCACCTCTTCAAGGTCACACCACCTCTTGACAAATCTTTATCGGGACCAAATCCCCACCACCTGTCTAGGAGGACAGTCACCCCAGCCAAATCATCAAGGTTGGTGTCTCTGGAGGTCTCTCTCCTGGTTCAAAGACATCCATCATCTCCCATGTTCCCACCTGTCACTCAAGTCACCGGTCCTGTTGTTACTGTCGACTGACTAGAGACTGCTCTAGTGAGAGAGATTCTGGGTTGGCAGGAAGCTCTCATTTCCCTTGGTGTTTGGCAGGAGTGAGCAGTAGCGGCAGGCAACAGCACGTGGCACTCTCCGGTGTCCTTGGGTGTAGGTCTAGGACACTGGGGGGCCCTGGACCTACAAGTGTTACAGTTGTGTAAGGGCCTAGGGAGTAGAGACTCAGCCGCCGCCCCTGTGGCAGGCGGTGCTGCAGCTTCCAGACAGATGTGAGTATCAGGATTCCTTGGCCCTTAACACCAGCCAGTGTTGAGCTTTTGGCCCAAGGTCTCACTCAGACCCTTGACTTTAGCATTATACATCTCCCTGGAACTCTTGCTGGCAGCAAGATAGTTTCTGCTATTTTAAGTCCATTCGTTTTTAGCTGCAGCTCACTGCCGTCTATCCCTCTCCTTCTGTACTGACACCCTTTCTCCTGCCCTGAGCGCTCAGCCAGCTGACTGGGCAGTATCTACCATCTCTGTTGCTCCCCTTTTTAATATTACCAGCTTAGCCTATGCCACTAGTTAGATGAGAAGAGACCACGAGGGCCTGTTGGGCCTATTGGAACACCAGGGAAATGGACAGGAGGGTGCTTCTGAACCTGCATGCCATGGGAGCTGAAGAGCCTATTTTATAGCCAGAGAAGGGGTTTTGAATTCCACGACAACTAGAGAAGGGGGGAAGTGCTACCTAGAGTTCATGGAGGTGGAAATCTGCTACAGGCTGTTTTGGTTGAGGCTGTGCCTTCAGGGGCAATGAGGGTCTATTGCCATCTTTGCATAGTTGTCAGGAGATTATGTAGAGTGCTGTGACAATGTAACCTAACCACCAACCGTTAGAGCAACAAGGGAAAGCCCAACAACTTCCAATTAGGGAATAAATTGACCACCTCCCATGGTCTTTGCATATCTACAGGAAAACTAATGTTACAAGTACCTAACAATAAGAACTTGACGTTATTAACACTAATAGTGACATTTGTAACCTTGGTTGTCCTGAAGCTCACTCTGTAGACCAGGCTGGCCTTGAACTCACAGAGATCTGCCTGCTTCTATCCCTAGTGTTGGGATTAAAGGCATGTGCCATCACCACCTGACTGTGACTTTTTTTTTTTTTTAAGAAATTGTATTGATTTTCAAAGTTTCATACACCTATCCCTGATTATGTCCACTGACTGCCCCTGCCCCTGAGACCCCCAGCACATGTTTTCCCCACCTTCTTATCTTTCCTTTCTCTCTCTTTTATTTAAATGACCTTCTGAGACGAGTCTGTGTTGCCCCTGTGTGCCGGGCAACCTGGCAGTAGCCTAACGAACCCCTCCCTCATTGTGCTGGCCTGACTGCCTGGCCTGATCATGTGCAGGTCACCACATCTGCTCTGAGCTCATAGGTGCAGTGGTCATGTCAGGACCAGGAGACAGCCTGTCACATGTCTCCTCCTGTCCTCCAGCTCTCCCACTATCCCGTGCCCCACCCCCCATGCCCTCCAAGCCTTTCTGGGATGTGTGTGTGTGGACAGGAATGACTCACTTAGAGCTGAGTACACTCCAGTCACTTACTCTCTGCACTTTGACTAGTCTTGATGCTCTGCACTGACTGCTGCCTTCTGCCCAGAGACGCTTCTCTACCCAAGATTGACAGCAGCACTTATCTGGATATAAACATTTAGAAGGCAGTTTGAAAATATCTGTTGAGCAAATCAACAGTAGTAGGTTCCCCTCTAGGGCCTAAGGCCTCCCCAGCCGTTCCAGGCACGAATTCCTTCTTCCTGTAGAGCAGGCCTCAAAGCCAGTGAAAAAGCAGTTGGTTACCCCATAACCTCGGTGCCACTATTGTAGCAGTGGACATCTCTTACCTTATAGGTCAGCGTTGCACCAGGATCCACCTCTAAGTGACTTTGGTGACTTTGGTCCTGTGAAAGTTAACTGTCAGGGAGGTAATTCCAGGTCTGTTCAGCTTGATTTCTTGATGACCTGTGACCAAAGTGTTGTGTCTTCAGCAATAGAGGCTTACCTTCTAATCATGGTGGATAACCAAGAGCAACGGTAAGCCTGTGTTTTAGGAGCTTATGGGTCCTCTCTGATCAATAACAATAGGGTGTGTCTTATAGTAAATTTTACAGACTGACTGTATGTTGAAATACAGTTACATTCCAAGGTTTGGGGGAGGGAGGGACACAGTTTGGCCCCTGACTGTGAGATACCTTTGCAGACCAGACAAATAGACACAGAAGGAAGAACAAAGCATAGGGCTAAGCTGAGGCACCTATGGGACCTGGGAGGTGGTATTAAGGGAAGGGGCAGAGGGCACAGGGCTGAGCTGTGAGGAGCCTGACTTTACACAGCATACCCTATTCATCAGGCAAATACACATGCCTGTCCTGTCCTAAGAGTAGACAGTGGCTGTCATTTGCTGCCAGTAAGAGGAAGAGGCAGGGCTTGATCTGGACCTGGTCCACCCTTCAAGACGTACCTCCACAGGGCTCTAGACCTCTGTAGCATTTCTGTATCTGGACAGTGACCAGACCCCACTTGTGTGTGTCTTTGCTACATGGGGCTGGAGTGATCTGGGGAGAGCCAGGATGAGGTAACAAGCCTTGGTACTGAATGAACACTTTCTTCCTCCTACAGGACATTAAGGACGCCCTGTGCAGGTATGAACCTGGGCATCTGGGCAGGATGTGGGTGGGGCCCCGCTGCTGGCCCCAGGCATGAAGCTGAGCTGTCCCCTGTAGGGTACAAGATGTGAAGTTACAGCCTCCAGAGGTGGTGCCCATGGAGCTGAGGACCGTGTGTCGGGTTCCAGGGCTGGTGGAGACCCTGCGGAGGTTCCGAGGTGGGTGTTCAGTCCTGGCAGCAGAGCTGTCAGGAGACCCCAGGATTTGAAATGGATTCGGTAGCTTAGAGCAGCAGTTCTAGAAACTTCCCTCTGCTTTAGACACATTATTTTCCAAACCAAAAAATTCTCCAGCAGGCCCAGCCCTGCAACACTGCCCTACTTCAGTGCAATTTGCAAGACCTAGGGGATGCCCGTATTTCTGTCTCCCTGCTCTTCTTCCAAAGTCCTCACAACCCCTCCATGATGTTAGATAATTTACTAAGGTGGATCACAAAATCCCAGAGACACTTTGCTTAGTATTTTTATAAAAGCTGCAGTTAAGGAAGCGATGTGTGGGCAAGGCTGGAGGATGGACACAAATCCTTCCTGCCCTCCCTGTACACCACCCTCCTGGTACTTTGATGAGTTCCCCAGCTCGGTGTGCCAGATCACTGTGAGCAGACTTGACGACTGGCTCCTCTCCTCTTCCTGGAGCCAGAGAATGAGGCTGAAATTCGAATCCTTCCGTCCCACAGCTGGCGGTGTGACTAGCCCCATCCTGATGTCATCAGCACCACCTGAGCCATCTTAGCAGCATAAGTTCAGGTGTGATGTCATAGGACTCCTGAAATTGGCAAAGCAGGTTTTCAGGCCTTCTTCCAAAGCCAGGGGTGGACTCTGTTGCCAAGCCTTGTTTGTCCAGGGGACTGCTGCCCTTGGTTCTAGCCAAAGGTCAAGGGGTTGGGGGCATGCATGCCAGGCCCAGAGGTAGGTAGACCAGAAATCACTTGGGACTGTGGCTGGGAGGAGACAGCAACCCTCCTCCTGAGCAGGTCTCTGTGTTTCCCTGGAGCCCAGGGTGCAGCTGTGGCCCAGAGCCAGTCTTCATTATAGAGTGAAAGAAAGAACACATGGTCAGGACATGTGTGGGCAGAAGCATCCACACCTCCAGGTCACCCTTTGCTATGTAGCAAGCAAGCCCATCCTGGGCTACATGAGACCCTTTCTCAAAAAAACAAATTAAAAAACTGCAGTCAGAATGCTCTCTTGTCATCAGAAGTAATGTAGGAGTGGTTTCTAGAAAATTCTGGGTTCAGATAGAGCTAGGTGTCTTTTCCCAGGGAGGAGATATTCTCCACGGGAGAGTTACTTAAGCCTGAGGTTCCAGCAAACAAGCCTGGGCTGCTGGGGAGGGTTTGGCTGATGGCCAGAGCAGATGGGGGCTGCCTTGGGAGTGTGGTTGACCTCGGGCCTCTCCACAGGGGACATAACCCTGGACCCAGACACTGCCAACCCAGAGCTGGTCTTATCCGAGGACCGGAGGAGTGTGCAGCGTGGTGACCAGCGGCAGGCCCTGCCTGACAGCCCAGAGCGTTTTGATCCAGGCCCCTGCGTGCTAGGCCAGGAGCGCATCACCTCTGGCCGCCACTACTGGGAGGTAGAAGTTGGGGACCGCACCAGCTGGGCGCTTGGCGTGTGCAAAGAAAATGTCAACAGGAAGGAAAAGGGGGAGCTGTCAGCTGGCAACGGGTTCTGGATCCTGGTGTTCCTGGGGAGTTTCTATAATTCCACTGAGCGGGCCTTCTCCCCACTACGGGACCCTCCTAAGCGTGTAGGCATCTTTCTGGACTATGAAGCTGGTCACCTCTCATTCTACAGTGCCACAGATGGGTCGCTGCTGTTTATCTTTCCTGAAACCCCCTTCTCAGGTACACTCAGGCCCCTCTTCTCACCTTTGTCTAGTAGCCCGACGCCTATGACCATCTGCAGGCTGATTGGCGTACCTGGGGACACCGCTGGTCCCCAGTGACCCGAACCCTCTAGAAGAGTCCCTTCACCTCTCCTGGTCCCTTGTCCCCTCCATGCAGAGGCCCAAGAGCCAGGCGGTGTCCTGTGAGCATTAGGAGAAGCACACAGTGCCTTTCTGCCCACACGTGGGAACACAAGCTCTCAGTCTGAGCGACAGTAAGTGGGAGTACCCCGGGCTGGGCTCTGTCCTCGTGCCGGGCATCTTCTCCGCCACTGATGTCACTTAGTGCCAAAAGCCCTCACCAAAGCACTAAGTCCCATGTGTCACCAGCACCTCTGACTCGAGGTTCCAGTGATGTGATAGGCTTTTCCAGAAGTAATCTGAACCTGTCCACACTGCTGTGCCAACAAGCATGCCACGCCATCCCTGAAGTGAAACTAGGTTAAGGTTAGGTAGGAGCCAGCTTCGAGCTCACCAGCGTCCCAGGATTCAGCCCAGTGGACAGAAGCACTGCTCAAAGTCCTTACCATGCTAGGTGTGGTACAGGGGAAGAAGAGAGGACAGCAGCCTGGCCCCAGAGATGAAATGGTCTGGTGGCGGCTGAATCCTAAATGAGTCCTCCACATTGGTATGGAACACATAAGGGGCCCAAAAGTGGAACTCAGACATGACATTTGAACACACCCTTCCGTTCTGAGACTTGTCTGGCTTTGCCTTCAGAGGGGCTTCCCTGGTGTCTGGCAAGCTTTGGTACACTGCCTGTGGCTGCCTGCCTTGCAGAGTGAGCTGCATAGTCCCTCCCAAGTGCACAGGAGCCAGCAGTGGCTGCTTTTGTGTGACACTTCTGGGAGTTTTATTTATTGGAAGGGAAACATTTAAATAAACTGTCATCTGCAACAGTATCCTCGGTTTACCCTGTGGGAAAATATCTGGGGCCTTGGGCTGGTAAGGTGGCGCAGCAGTTAAAAGCACCACACTGCTGTGGCAGTTTGAAGTGACTTGGGTCCCAGCTCCCCCCACATTGGGCAGCTTATAACTGCTTGTAACCCCCACTCCAAGGAATGACCCATCCGGCTCCCAAGGGCATCTGCAGTCACATGCTGCATAAAACCCTCTCTGGCACACATAAAAAGAGAAGTGACAACCCACGGGCAGACGTGGGTTGAGGAGGTAGGTGGTCACCGGGAAGCAGGTTTCCAGGTGGCTCACAGGTCACCCGGCCTAAGGCAGACAGCCGCCTCACACGGGCACGGCAAAGTGGAGGCGCCACGTGTTCCTCGTTCCGCTTGCGCGTTGAGTGTGTGTGGCACCTAAAGGACTTGGTTCCCTGGGGTTAGTGGGTTCTTTCTCATATAGCTCATCGTCATGGACTTGCTCCTGCCCTGTAACCAGCTCTATTTCGAGGAGGACGACCTATGACACTCGCACTTACTTGTTCCAGGCAGGGGAAGTGTAGTAGGTGAACACCTGTGTCACCTGGCTATAGCTTGTAGCCAATGTGCTGTGTTTGTAATTTCTGGGGCAAGGAGACCCTGGGAAACAAGGGGCAGCCATGCGGCTGAGACCAACATGGGTTCATAGCCCTAGCCATGGCTTTGGAGAAGAGCTGGACACAGGTTCCGAGAAAGGATGAAGTCCATGACCACAGCCAGATACTGGGCTCTATAAGTCTAGTGTTGTGCCGCTAGCTAAATGGGGCCCTGGGGAGGGGCCCTACCCAGGGAGTGTACATACAGCCAGGGACTCCCATGGTGGAGTAGACACCACACAGTGAGTGAGGCTGGACGACATAGATTAATGTAGTGGCTGAGCCCTATCCCAGCAGTGGGTGGACTCTGAAACAAGAAGTTGCTGAAGAACCAGATGTTGATTGAAAAAGATCTCATAAAAGCCAGAGCGACGTTGAGACTCCTAAGGGCTGCTTTCTGTTTTACTCATCTTTCTAGTCCTCAAACCTAAGTAAAAGTCTTATCACATGGGTTCTCATCTAAACTTTAACCACCTAAGTGAAATAAAGTCTTAGAATTAAAAAAAAAAAAAAAAAAAAAAAAAAAAGTCAGGCAGTGGTGGTGCATGCCTTTAATTCCAGCACTTGGGAGGCAGAGGTAGGCAGGTGTCTGTGAGTTCGAGGACAGCCTGGTCTACAAGAGCTAGTTCCAGGACAGCCAGAGACATTACACAGAGAAACCCTATAATCCTGTCTCAGAGAAGAAGGAGGAGGAGAAGGAGAAGAAAGCTCTGGTCTTCTGCAAGGGCAGCCAGTGCTCTTCACTACCAAGCCATCTCTCAAGCTCATTTGTTCCCTTGACTGATGAAAGAAAGAAAGAATTTCACTGTAGTTGCTATTTTGTTTGAGGCAAAGTTTCACTATGTGGACCAGGTTGGCCTTGAACTCACACAGATTTATGTGCCTCTGCCTCTAGATTGCTGAGATTAAATTGCAAGAGCCACCACATCTAGCCCCTCGGTGTACTTTTAGTTTACGTTTCTTTCATAGCTAAGAATATTGACTATTTTTGTGTGTGTGTTTTTTTGTTTTGTTTTGTTTTTTTTAATCCTCTGTTAGATGACTAGCTGGCAAAGATCCTGTCTGTAGGTTCTTTTCACTCTGACCATTGCTTCCTTTGCTTGGCAGAGCCTATTTGATTGTATGCTGTCCGTCTGTCTCCCAGAGGGTTTCTATCCTGCCATGTACCCAGAGGCAGGAAGAATCTGACAGGAAAATGAGCTCTGAAGAGAAGTGCTTGGTGTTTCCGGAATGCTTGGGGTTAGCTTCGGAGATCTCAGACGTAATCAGGATGGGTGAACTTGAACTCAGGGTTCCCACAGGATTTTTGCATCTGTTGTTTTAGCTGCTACCTCATTCTCCCACCCTCTGCTTTACATGTTTGGCTTGAGGACATCTCATTTTGTCTTTTATCAGTGTCACCCACTATGATGTGACACAGTCAGGGGGCCCTCACCAAAGGCAGGGCAATGGGGGCACAGAAGGTAAAAGATTCTCTTCACACATTCAATGCTGTAAGACAGCAACCTAGAACAAATGAGGGTGCGCCTGTGCATAGGCCCTGGTGAATCACAGGGCAGAGGGGAGACAGAGCATTGGGAAGATTGAGGAGGTGGGGCCCAGTTCCAGGTTTGAGATCAAGGTACCCCAAGTGCAAAAAGACCTAGGGACAGTGTCCAGTAACAAGAGTTGGTTCCAGCTCAGGTGCTTTCAAAAAGCAAAGGCAGTGCTAACCAGTGCCTCTCAGCCACAGGAGACTAGTCAGAGCAGCAACCACTGGTACCCGGGCGTCAGCACGCGTGGGTGCAGCTTGCTCTCTGGACATCTGCATCATCAGGGCTCTAGTCAGTCTTTGACCAACTGGAATATCAGGAGGAACCACTGACCAGGAACACTTGAGTCTTCATCAGACTCGGTCTGGAATTGCTGGCTCATGACCATTATTTCTGTCCATGGTAGAAGGGGCCTGACTCTGGCTCAAAGGGCTGTCCCCAAGGCTGGATTCTGCAAGGTGGGAGGGGGGGTTATTCTAAGAGAGTGACTTCCTTGCCTGCTTCTGGATGTCCCTGCCTGAGCATGCACAGTCCTGATATGGACTGTTCTTCACACACCTTAGTGTTGCAGACTTGCTTTCAGCATGGTGTTACTGGAAGTTAGGACCATAGAGTCAAGGCCCTGCAGGGAGGTCTCTGGGGCCAGCCCTCCAGGGAGCTGGTAAAATAGCTTTTTGGAACCTGGCCAAAGGGGCTGGTCTTTGCCTGCTCTGAGAAGAGGCAATGGTGAGTTTCCTCATCACGGGCTATGGTGCAACCCTGAGTAATGGAGCTATTTCATCAGGACATCTGTATGTAAAAGCAGGGGTCCAGGCCCACAAACAGAAAATGTTGAAGGATGGCCTGGTTTTCACCATGGCCATGAACCAAGGATCCCAAGACAAGACCTGGATAAAGACTCTAGGGATTCGTGGCCAGCAATATCTCTCTCTCTCTCTCTCTCTCTCTCTCTCTCTCTCTCTCTCTCTCTCTCTCTCTCTCTCTCTCTCTTTCTCTGTTTTGTCTGCATGTATGCCTTTATGCCAGAAAAGGGCATCAAATCCTACTAGAAATGGTTTGTGAGCCACCATGTTGTTGCTGGGAATTGAACTCAGGACCTCTGGAGGAGTAGCCAAGTGCTCTTTTGTTTGTTTTTCAAGGCAGGGTTTCTCTGTGGCTTTGGAGTCTGTCCTGGAACTAGCTCTGTAGACCAGGCTGGCCTTGAACTCACAGAGATCCGCTTGCCTCTGCCTCCTGAGTGCTGGGATTAAAGGTGTGTGTGCCATCAATGCCCCAGCAAGTGCTCTTAACTGCTGAGCCTTCTCTCCAGCAATACCTCTTGATTGGTCTCTTGGCCAAGAACTGACACAACCAAGATGTTCAGGGCACAGCTGCACACTAGGGCAGGGGAAAGGCCAAAGGCTATGAGGAAGAGCTGAGCCCAAAGGTTAATAGAAATTCATGAACAGGTAGGGGATGTGAGACTACCACTGCACTGCTTCAGGCTTCAGAAGCCAAAGGGTCCTGGGGACCTACCCCAATTGTTACCAGTCTGACAGCAATGGTGTTCTAAAGAATACCTGTGTCTCAAATTTATCAATAGACCTTAAACAAATGGGAGTCATTGCCCCCCACCATCCAGAGGGGGAACTTGTTTCTGAAAGAGATTTCTAACACCCTCTCAGAGCATTTTACATAATGAAACAAACCCAGATGACCATGATGGATGAGACTGCATCTTGGCATCTTGGCCAGTACTGCTTAGAGTTGCATATCCTTGGCCCTCTAAACTTTAATCTTACTTCAGACGCTGAAGATCCACTTGAGGGGTTTGCTGTATCTCTTTGTCCCTCTACTCAAAGGGGACAACATTTTAATTGGCCTATTGAGGATGGGTGGCTGGATTTCACTGGGGCAAAAGCTGTAATCCCCAAGATCCCAAACACCAGGGAGATGAAACAAAAAACTCTTTGGCTGTTTTGCATTTTTTATTGGCGCAGGTGTCCTCATGTGGCAAGGCACATCTTGCTCTGCAGAGCAGGATCTCAGCGTACCTGGGCCAGGTTGTGCTTCTTATAGAGTAGCGCCCGCCGCTTCTCTCGATCGCGCACGAAGGCACGCAACCGTGCAGTAGGAAATGTCACTGGCGTGGGCAGGGAGCCTGCAGGGCCCTCAGTCAGCCACCCACATTGCAAGCAGGTGGTGGCGCATGGGCGGCCCCTGAAGCGGAAATTGGATCATTAGAGGTCTGGAGGGTTAGGCGGGGTGGGTGGGGGGTGTAGGGTGAGACAAGCAGAATGGGAAAGGTTGCACAGTGTGAGGGGCCTGAGAGGTGAGCTGGGCCGGAGAGAGAGGTGGAGGGGGTGGAGCGGGTCACAGGTTTGGGCTCCTTACCAGGGTCTAGCACACAGTGAGCTCTGCAGGAAGGCTACAGCACCCCCAGACAACCCTGCATAGCAGCGACTCAACTGAATGAGTCCCTTGCGCAAGCCTTTCTGCAGGGTGCGAGTCCCTTCGATGCTGATCGGATACTCGCCACTTAGCCTGGGTGGGTGAGAGGCACAGAGATGCTCAGTTACCCTTCGATAGGTAGGAGATGTAGGGACATCAAGTTCACCATAATGGATGATGGAGTGTGGGAAACCAATTTCAGGATGTATTTGTGGGGATGTACAGGGCTCTGTTTGGGGCTTTTCAACCCAGAGCTTCCCGCAGACACCTGAAGGACTCACATAATAAAGGCGGTTACACCAATAGCCCAGATGTCTGTCTGTGGCACAGCCCCTTGGCCTTCCAGGAGTTCCGGAGCTGTGGAGAATCATGGGTGGACACGGGTGGTTGGGCACAAGTATGAGGCTGTGGTGAGAGGCTGGTGGGTGTCAATGGAGCTGTGAAGGAGGACAGTTAGGGAAGAACCCCCTCTCTACCTCCACAGATCAGAATCAGGAGTCACATACGCACCCATGGTCTCCAGGTAGTCTTTGAAGTTTTCAGGGGGTGGGACCTTCTCTTGGCTGAGGATCTGAGCACTGCCCAGGTCTACCACCTTAAGCAGGTTGTACTCAGTGACCATCATGTTCTCGGACCTCAGGTCCAGGTGCAGGATGTGTTGGGCATGCAGGTACTGGGTGGCACTCAGCATCTGCCACAGGTAGTCCTTCACATCAGACTCTGAGTAGGAGTTCCTAGGAGCACAGATAGCTCAGGACAGGCTTGAGGCAGGTGGGGGTGTCCTGCCAGGGCTAGGCACACAAGGGGACCACCAAGAACACAGCAGCATCAGATTCCATTGAGTCCTATCTTGATGTGGTCACAGTTCTCAGTCCCTCCCAGAGACAAGCATTTGTCTGCCTGTCTGTCTCCCAGGCAATCCATGATGCCCCCTCACCTCTCTGCCAGACAGGGTAGCAGCTCAGGGCCAGAACACAGCTCCAGGATGAGCACTAGGTGCCGGGGACTGAGGTAGGCAGCATGGAGTTGGGCCAGATGTGGGTGGTGCAGTCTCTTAAGTGCCTCATATTCTCTTAGCACAGCTGTCTTGTCCTCAGGCTGGTAGGGGACAATCTTAGCAGCCAGGGCCCGCCCACTTGCCTTCTCCCTACACTGCCGTACCACACTGAAGCGGCCCCTGCATAAAGGAAACGTGGGGGGGCTTGTGAGTAGTCCCCATACACTTGAAGTAAGCTGAATGAGCAGATAATGTAAGGGGCCAGCGACAGGCACACTGGGGTGTGGGGCAGGAAAAGCCCGCAAGAGGAATTGAGGGACAGCCCCACCCTCCCACCCTCCGCCGACACCCCAGCACCTCCGGATCTGCATCTGGAAGGCGAAGGTCTTTGTGCTGGGGAGAGCCTGGGCTGGCCTCCCACGGCTGCTCTCTTCCTCAGAGGCTGTGGGATGTGAGATAGGTAACCTAGTCAGGGAGGGACATCCAGCAGCACTGCCCTCCCATTATCTCTCATAGTCCTTTCCTACGCACTAAAAAGTGGCGCTTCTTTAAGTTCCCGTGCACTCTGACCTCTCATTCCTTGAGCACGCGCGCACGTGTGTGTGTGTGTGTGTGTGTGTGTGTGTGTGTGTGTGTGTGTGTGTGTGTGTTGGAGGGGAAACATGGTCACGGGAGGATCATGACAGAATCTGCCATCTTGACTATGTGTGGGATAATGGTAGGGGACATTCCAGGATGGACCCGGTTAGCAATCAAATGACATCTGCAGTTCTTGAGACTACACCAGTCATTTCCACCTCAGCACTCTCCCATCAGATGGAACAGGGTGACACGAGGTGGGTGTTGTGAGTGAAGGGAACAGGAAGATGATGGGGTCCCCAGGGAGTGAAGGCTCTGAATGCTGAATGCAGGCAAGTAGATCACCCACGGGCAAGAGGGTGTCTATGCCTGACCTGATAGCCACCTTTATCTGCCCCATCTACCCCAAAGCTCACCCAGGTGGTTGGGTCCTCCTAGGAGGACTTGTTCTGAAGGGCTGCTGTAGGGGCCCATTCCTGCTTTGCTGACACATGCTGTCCGGAAGGTGTACATGCCACCCCGGGACAGCTTGCTGGTGAGGTAGCAGCAGTCGGAGATGTCAGAGGCCAGGGTGGTCCAGCTGCCTCCTGACCACACAGGAGAGAGTGAGAAGTAGTTGTGTAGAATCAAGGGAACCCCTAACCTGAGGCCACCCAAAGACACAGGGCAGACATATCCACAGTGCCTCTCCATGTCAACCCTGCATAGCGGCCTAAGCCTCGGGAAGCCTGTACCTTCTATACAGCACTGTACAATGTAGGTCACGGGACCACAGGATTCCACAGGCTTCCAAACCAGCAGCACCGCATCTGTGTACACTTCCCCCACCTCTGGGCGTGGGGAGGATGAGGGACGCTCTGCAAGGGCAACCCTGTGGTCAGTTACTCCACCACACCCATCTCACTCTCAACAGCTGCCAGGGTCTGGAGAGGGGTTTCAAGGGATGATGAATAGAGACTGTTGGGGATCCAGGGATGTCTGCCTGGCTATCTCTGTCAAGATCCCTCTCAGCTGGCATCTCACCGGTCATACTCAAGACCCAGTGGTGGGCCGGTATCACAGGCAGGCCCCACAAGCACCCTTGGACTCTGCATGAACGAATACAGAAAGCAATACAGGAAGATGAAGCGGTGTTATCTGGAGAGGAAGCTCTGTTGGCACTAGATGTGGCATTAGCAGCTTTAGCTACCTCTGACTTTTCCCCTACAAGTCCCAATTCCATGGGCCCTCGCATAAGAAGCCAGCTCATCCTGCTCACTAATCAAGATAAGGCTTCCTGGAACTCCCATTCCAGCCTCCGTGGCCTGGCAGAGGCTTCTGGTGGGGCCTACACACCTGCTTTCCGGAGGACACCTGTAGTGACTGCTGTCCCCAGCGGATTGCTCACACAGCAGGTGTATGTGCCCAGGTCCTCCTCTCTCACCACCAGGATGGTCAACAGCTGGAAGTTCTTCAGGGTGGAAGAGATGAGTAGGTGGCCACTGCTCTCCAGTAGGGCCCCATCTGTGACAAGACAAAGCCAGTCTTGGTTTTCCCCAGGACAGGACAGCATCCCTCTGGGACTATGGTTGTTGGTTGTGTGCACCGATCTAGCACCTGACTCTGGGACAGCTCCTTACCTTTGCTCCAGGTAGCCTGGGCGGTTGGTTGGGCCAAAACCTGGCAGGCCAGGGTCACTGATTGGCCCAGGACCACAGTCTCATCTGAGAGCTCCCTTAGGAAGGATGGCGCTGAGAGGGGGCATAAGATGAGCCTTGAGAGGAGACTTCCTGACCAGAGAGCCCAGGCTGGACCCTGCTTAGCTCTACCCTCAGCTTCAACAGAAGAACCCTCCAAAACTGCTTAGACCTCTACCTACACCAGAGCCCCACTCTGGAAACCCACTGTTGTGATCTCTGCTTACCTTGGTCCCTGCCCTTCAGACCTGACAGCCTGAAAGAAGTTAGGCCTGCCTTCTTCCTGGGGGGCTCCTCCTTCTCAGGGCCTGTGGGAGAAAAAGGGCACTGGAGCTCAGGGGGAGAGGCAGAAAGAACAGCACTAGCTCCCTCACCCTGGGAAATGTGCCAGGGGAAAGGCCAGGACCTTAGGGAGCATCGGGAAACCTGAGCCAAGCTTGCTGAGCCACCCCCAACCTCCTTCAGCAACAGGCTGTCAAGACACAGGCCCGAGCACAGGACATAGATAGATGCCTGAGGGGTAGCTGGGAGATAGGCCTAGGGTTAGGAAAGTCAGAGGCCATGGAGGCTCTGAGGATGAAGGGCTATGGAGTCACTGAGGGCCATATTAGAGGGTCTGGGTTTGGAGTGGCTCCTGGGACAGAGATCTGGTGAATTGAACCATGGACCCACTCTCTCCCCAAAGGTCCGACCCTGCTGCTGGCTCCGGGCCCCTGCAGCTGTTATGTGTCAGGGATGGTCTCAGGTACCCAATAAGTAGCGGTGTCAGGGCTGCAGAGGAGCTCCTAGGATTTGAGCTAAGACCTCTGGGGTCAGGCCAAATGGTGTGGGTAGCATAGAGCAGGGAGAGGAGGCCAGTGGGACTTGAGAGGACTCAAGAGGACAAGGTAGCCCCTGGGTGCAGAGCAAGGGACATGTGGACATGCCAGATATTGGGAGAGGTCACCTTCCGGCTTGCCCTTCAGGATCCTGGAGATGTGAGCCATGGAAGCCTTCACCCTCTGGCGCAGCCCAAGCTCCACAGGCTCCTCCCCTGATAGGCACCTCCCTGAGAATGGGAAGAGGCCACGGGAGGGGGACCACTTGCGCTTCCTGCCCATAGCAGCCTCGCCCAGCAGTGCTTCCAGGGCCTCCGGCTCCTCCGACTCCTCTGTAATTTCCAGGCCAGCACACAGGCCCAGCTCTCCTGGCCAAGGCCAAACAGCCTCCTGGAGGAACTCTGCCAGCCCTTGCCCGGCCTCAGTTTCAGACTCAGGTGACTCTGGTGGCTCTACAGGTTTGGGGACCCTCCTGAAGATCATGAATTCAAAGGGGAGATATTTGATGTCATATAGGTCAGAGAGGTTGAGGTAGGCAGGATCCACCTCAGAAATGTCCAAGGAAATAGTGTCAGCTGCTTCCGCATCACCAGACAGATCCCGGATCTGTACCAGGGAAACCTGTTTGACTTCCTCCCATGGGGGTAAGCTCAGAGAGGTCCTTAGGGGAACCCCACTGGCCTCAGCAATGGGCCCTGGGCTGTCTAGAGGTTGAGAGCTCTCAGTCCCAGCTTCATCCTGCTCTTCTGAGGACTGGGACACAGCCCAGGCCATTCTGGCCCAGAGAGGACCCTGCCCTAGCATGCCCCCTGCATCCCCGCCAAAGGCAAAGGTGCCATAGCCTGCAACCCCTGCATAGCCCCCACGGGATTCCAGGGAGAACTTCCGGGTGGTGGCCTGCTCCTGAGGCCGCAGCAGAGGGGGTGTAAAGTCACACGTGTCCCCGGCTTCAGACAAGCCTTCAGTATCTGGGGAAGCACCTACTTGGGAGGGACTGGGATAGGGCCTTCCGTGTAGAGAGGTATCCTCAGGCTCCTTAGAACCAGGAAGGGGGCTTGTTTGGGTTGGGAATGGGGCTGCCTGAGGCTGTCCTGAGAGGAAGGGGCTACAGGGTGTCAAGGGGTCCTTCTTCAACGACTGTGGAGGTAAAGAGCCAAGTGACTGTGATGACAAAGAGCCACAGCCCTCCTGGGAACCAGGACCCAGGTCAGAGTGACAGGAAGGGGCTGGTTTCCCTCTACAGCTGTCCTGTGATGATCCCTCTTGTTTAGCAGGCCTCATGTCAACACTTGTAGATGAACAGGGGACAGACTCCTGCAAGAACCCCGTTGAGTGCTCCATGTCTTTGGCAGTGGTTTCATGGGTCACCTCTGAGGATGGCGGGAATAGGTATTGTCCCTTGCATTCCTTAGCAGAGGGGCCAGTGGTGTCTGGTGGGTTGTGGTCCAGGGAGCGGCTTCGGCCTGGGACCTCCCGGGCACTGGAGCTAGGTAGTCTCAGGGCAGTCTCAAAGGAAGGTGTCTTGGACATCAGAGCAGCCTGCTCCTCCCTAGCAGCCTCCTCCTCCAGTACACTGTGCTCCATCAGTGGTTCTCGAAGACCTGGTAGAGCCCTTGCAATATACCCCCCCTTTAGCAGGTGCCGCCTCCGAACTGGGTGCCTTTTGGCACCCGAGGTTTTGCTGCCACACTCTGAGCCCTCACCAGCTTGTTGGTAGAACAAGCTGCTGATGACACTGTGCCTGGGCACACAACCGGGGCTTGCTGGAGGCCCAGCACCCTGGGTCGATGCTGGCAGGGCTGCATCAGCAGTGGGTGTGCTGACTTCTGTCTCCTCTGGGAGACTGGCTGAAGGCCGCAGGAAGCCCCGAGGATGCAGCAGAGGGGAGTGGGTCACAGGGGAAGGTGGCAGTGACTTAGCCCTGGCGAATGGGGCGAGCTCATTGTCTGAGGAAGATGATGAACTAGAGGAGCCACTGGCCTCCCCTTGTAGGTGCCGAGCCACTCCTAGGGATGGACTGTCTGGAGGACCCTGGAGCAGCTCAGGGATGGAGCGCATCACCAGGATAGACTTGTAACTCATCAAGGAGCGCTGGAAATGAGGGCAGAAGGGCATCCATTGGACATGGCTAGTCATGGCAGGGGTGGGGTACCACTCCCTCTATGCTCCCAGGGGGCCCAGAAGGGTTGTCCAGGACATCTGGGTCTTCTGCACCTGGTGCTCTAACTGGTGCACTCAAGGGGACCTAGAAGCATGGAACAGGCCAGCTTCCCCCTGTGCTCCTGGCTAGCCTAAGTGGAACACACAGATAGATTCCCTTCCCTGGCCTCAATACTTCTTCCCTGGGAAATAGGGACTCACCTGCCAGCGACTTCGAGCAAGAAGGAACTTGAGCTGCTTGGTGTTGATGAAGTGGGCTTCCTCAGCAGGCATGGATTTCTGCAATGGGAGGGGAGTAGCTGTGATGATAAGAGACTCTGATGCCATGGTGGAGCACTATGGGGATGCAGGCCCAGAAGGGCAGAAGCAGCAGACTGGCCCCCACTGCAGCCTTCAGGGTCTCTTCCTCTCAGACACTCTGAGGGCAAGTCCCTTACCCAGATGCCCATGAAGGCAGAAGGAACCCTTTGTCAATAACTGCCTAGCAATTCTTCCTTGAGGGCTCCAGGAACCCCTGGCCAATATGAAGAGACTGATATCCTCTGAATCTGGGACAGCAGGCCAGAACAATCCATGTTGATGAGATGTCTTGGCCTTTATGTCCCTCTCTGCAGAGTAGTGAGTTGAGCCCAAGCTGGGCCTACTTACCAGGAACCAGGGATGGGCAAGGCATTGGGAAGTACTAGGCCGGGCCCTGGAACAAGAAGAAAAGCAGGTGGGCTAGTCAGTCAGGTAGTCCTACCACAGGGTGACTGGAGCTTGGGCAGGTGAAGGACAGGTGTGTACTCACCCGGGGGTCTTCTGCAGTGTGGCCTTGATAAAGTCTTTAGCATCCTCACTCAGATGGGCAGCCATGGGACTGCTCCAAGATATCCGCCCCTCCAAAACATTGAGCAGGGTGGCACGGTCACTCTCTCCAGCAAAGGGGGATGAGCACGTCAGGCTGCAAGCAGGGCAGAGAAGATTCCCTGACTGGATGTGCACTACATTCATCTAGATCTGAGGATTCTAGCAAATGTCTCAGGCTGCACCAGAGCGATCCAGGGTTAGCTTGGAGCAGGGATTCAGGCAAAGCCTGGGGTGGTTATCAGAGCTCAGAATGGGATGTACACCCAGGCTCATACTGAGATAGGGATCAAGGAAGAATCATCCCACAGAAGTACCCAGCCTTAGCCTGAGGTGGGGGTTAGAACTTGTCCTGTAGACGAAACCAAGGCACAGCTTGAAGAGGGGATATGAGATGTATCTTGGGTCTAACCTGAGTAGAGATAAAGGCTCTTGGTCACTTGCCCTTATCCTGACTGGGAACTTATGTCCCAAATAGGACAGACATATCAGTTTGTGAGGTAGGGATTTGGGTTCAAGCTGATACAGACAGGTATCAAGGTCCGTTTGAGGTGGCACCTAGCCTTAATCTGAGGCAGAGTCTCAGGTTCCGAATGGGATAGAATTCAAGGAACCAGCGTTTACTAAGGTAGAAATGGAGTTCAGCCTGCAGAGGAGGTCCCAGCTCAGGCTACACCACTAGCACCTTCAGTGCCTCAATGGTCACTGTGACTAAGTTCTGCCCCGTGACAATTGGGTGTTAGTGAGAAGTGTTAAAGGAAACCCTTTATCAAGGTTGGCCTACTGCCTGCTCTCAAAATAGTTGCCTGCCATGTCTCGAGGCTGATCCAGAGAGTGGCCAGCAGTGTGTGGCCTGCATGGAGGGGTCAGCTTGGAAGAGGTGACGGGGCAGGGTCTGCTTACCTGAGGTAGGAGATGACGCCCATGGCCCTGCAAGAAGGAAAGCACCACATACTGTGAGTCAAACCAGGCCTGGCCCACAGGTAAGGGTTGTGCGTGGTGTGTGGGGGCTGGGGAAGTCTGGGGCTGGAAGAGGAAGGAGGGCCTCAGAGGACTCTCAGCTGCCAGACAGACAGAGAACAGGGGGCTCCAGAACCTCAGCCCTCCTGGTGGTGCTTCCACTCACCAGATGTCTGAGCCCTCGCTCACAGGACTCTGCTGGATGATCTCTGGGGACACGAACTCAGGCGAGCCGTACTTGCTGTACTGTGGCTCTGAAGGGGTGATTTTTTGTGCAAAGCCAAAGTCACAAATCTTAATGTCTTCCCGAGATGGATGCACCATCAGGATGTTGGGAGGCTGTCAGGAAGAGTTGGGAAGTTGCTTGGGGCTACATGTCATGAGAGAGGTGACTCCTATCTTTCTTGGCTTAAGGGAGCACTGAAGAGTCCTTGGAGCTGGTAAAGGGCAGTGGGGAGTCCCTGGGTCAGACTGGACATCACATCTACTCCATCAGATCCAAATCCTGCCTGAGGGCTGGAAAGTCCTCTATGCTTAGTGGAACTCATGCACACACAGCCTCCCATCTGTCCCCACCCTGAGTTCTGGAGGTACCACGGTGTCAGTACCTTTATGTCCAGGTGGAGAGTACCATGGCTGTGCAAATAGTGCAGGCCTTCCACCAGCTGCTGGATATAGACCTTGACCTGTAGTAAAAAGCCCGCTTCAGTCGGGGACTAGTCCCCAAGAGGCTGGCTCAGGTACCCCCTGAAGTCCTGGTTCAAGTGAGGCGCCAGCCTCAGCCTCCTCCTCTATTCCATTCCAGCTTCCCCCCATAGTCAACCTTCCCCATCTTAATTCATGTCAGTCAGGACAAGAGACTGGCAAAGTCTTCAGAAATCTGTGAAACCCAGGGCTGGGGGGTCCCCAAAGTTGAGCCTGAGTAAGCAGAAAGCAGCAGCCTGGTCAAATCGGCGAGAAGCAGGCATCACTGGTACAGCTGGACAGTTATGGTCAGGAGGGATAGGATAGGGCTGAATATGGCTGGGTACCCTGGAAGCTACAAGGGATTTAGATCAAAAGAGTCTGGGGTATGGGCCCTGACCCTAGGGCCCCACTCAGGCAAAGAGAGAGTAAAAATTACCTCAGCCTCAGTCACTACACCTTTCTTGAAGAGGCGATCCAGCAGCTCCTCAGATGAGCACCTGGGCTTGGTCAAGGAAAAGCTGCACCTGGTTGGAACCCGCCTGACTCCTGGGATCCTATGCTCACAGAGAGGTGTCTAGGAGCTGAGGCTCCTATAATCCAGATCTAGGGGTGCTGGTACTCAGGTGAAGGAAGGTGGAATGGAGAGGCCCCAGGGTCCCAGGTGGTGACAGGCTGTTGGGCAATAGCACATTGGAACTGCAGCACCTTTCATCTTTGCACAGAGCCCACACCAAGCATCCCTTCCCCAGGATCCTAAGACGTAGCCTCGGGAGTGTCAGGACAGCCAGACCGTGAAGGATAGTAGAAGACCCTCAAACAAGGCCCCCTGACAGTGATGGAGACCTAGAGGATCTGGGGTGGGAAACTCATCTCATAGCCAAAAGGTCACCTGTGAGAGGGACCCCATGCCATCTTTGCTGAGAACCTTCAGGATCAGCCCACAACTATGGTGGCCCTCTCCCCAAAGCACACCACTTTGAATTGTAGAATCAGGAGCCGCTGTCACACACAGTCACAGCACCAGGAACAGGAATGCTGAGATGCAAGGCTAGTTGTTGTCACTAAAACACCGAGGTCCAGGGGCCCCCACACTCAGTAACTCCAACCCTAGCCTGGGACCCGGTGTCTCTTAAATTCTCCCAGGATCCAGGTGCAGGATACAGCTCTAAGATAAGTATGAGAGTCTTTCGGGTCTCAAATTGGTCCAGGAGCCCAGTGACCAGCGGGTGGTTGAGTGTAGCCAAGATGTCTCGTTCCTGATATGCCTGGGCCCGAGTTTTGCTTCTCAGGGGGATGAACTTGGCAGCACAGGACATTTTGTTTCCTTTGTGCTGAACCCTTTTCACGAAGCCAAACACACCCCTAGGGGTAAAGAGGGAGAGAGGAAACTATGGTAGGTGTCCTGCTGAGAGTGGAGGAAGAGTCCTTGGGGAGGACTGGAGATTGTTGGGGAAGGTAAGGAAGCCGTACCTCCCAATCTCTTCTTGGACTTCATAGAAGGAATGCAGTTTTCTCCGATATGCTTGCTTTTCTGAGTCTAGCTTGTCCCCTAGAGTCAAAGCACAGGATATTCACTGTATAGGAAGCAATAATAGCCTTGGCTCTACTGTTCTATGCAATGATAGGGGCTGCTCCCTGCTCCCTGTACCCTGCCCAGGACCTAGGAGGAGCCAGCCAACTCACCCCCATGGACCAGCAGCTCTGCCTTGCAGAGCACTTGTCCACCTGCATTATGGGCAAGGCACGTGTAGACACCAGCATCGTATGGAGCCACATCAGTCAACACCAGGGAATATGCAGTCCCATCCTGTCGCTGGCTCAGCCTGTCACTGTTCATCAACTGGGTGCTGTCCTGGACACACAAGAGGCAGGCTAGGGGACACTTGTACCTGGACTATGTCCAGCCCCAAGTGCAGGCCAGAAGTGAGATGGGAAGGTACAAACAGGATAGGGCTGCAGGGTGGTGCCGTGGAATGGGGGTTGTAGATTGCATAGAGCCCCACACTGCCACATGGCCTCATGGTTCATACACCCATGCCTTCCAGCTCTTACAGCCTGTCTCCTCCCCCCTGCCGCCTGGACCTGCTCCTACCTTGTACCAGGTCACTGTGGGCGGCGGGTTGCCTTCAATGACAGCATCAAACTGTGCCGTGCCACCTACTTGTACTAGTACATCCTCAATGGTGACCTGCATGGATGGGGCCCCTGGGAGAGGTGGGAAGAGAACTGTGTGTGGGGACCCTCAGGCTTCATAGCCCTAAGCACACCGTCTACCATGTATATCTGGTCTGTGAAGCCTTGGTTTATGTCCCTTGGACAGTCAAGCCAAAGCAGGCAGAAAGGCCTGTCAAGTACAGAAACTGCAGGTACCACATTTGCTGCTACTGGCCTCCTCCCAGACAAGAGGGATGGAGATAACTATTTCCGTGTCCTCCAAAGGGGGCACAGAAAGAAGAGGTGGGGGGAGGTGGGCTGAGGCATGCCATGTGACTTAATCAGGCCCTCATAAAAATGCACCCAGCACCCGGCAAGGGCACACTCCCACCTGGCTGGTCCACTTCCATACTTGCCGCTCTTGTGTCAGGAGCTTGGTACACATAGGTCCTCTGTGTGGTCTCCATGATGACTTGGCTGTGCACATCCAAGAGCAGCTGCCCTGTGCCTGCACCTGGCCAGGCTGTTCCCTCCACCCTGGAGTCAAGGCAGGGTTGTCTCCACTCAGTGAGGAGCCCTGACTCTGTACCTCTCAGGTGGCTGAGCCTCAGGATGAGATGGTGACCCTAATGTCCCTATTTGTGGGGTTGGATGTATGAACAGAGAACCCAGGCTTCTCCCCAAGATCTTATGCTCTAGAGTAGGTCCCTCTTCCCTCCCCTGACCACCAGCTGGGGCTGGAGCCTGTAAGAACTGGGTTGGGGAGCATCAAGTCCTCCCTCCAGACCATGACACCACAGCAGGTGGGCCCTGCACTGCCAACCCGGGATGTCCCTTGGAGGGTAGTTCTCCACATGACCCAACCGGCTCAGGAGGTTACCGAATAGGTACGGTCCGTCCCTGGGACCCAGAAGTTGTCGTCTCCTGCTCCAGGCCTTTGTGTGTGTCAGGCTGTGAGACCTCTGGGGGCTCACCTGGTAGATGATAGGAAACCTAGTGAGTTGGATCTAGGCAGGGGTCAGAAGGACATTCTTTAACAAGCGTGGGTTCCCCATATGGCCACTGTGGGGTGGATTACAAAGTCAAGAGCAGCTCCACGGCCAGGGCCCTGAGTAAGAACCAGGCCCCCACAACCTAGAAATCTACGCTAGCTGTCCTGCTGAAGCCAGGCTCCTCGAGTTCCCCACCAGGGTGACAAGTCTGATATCCTAGCCCACCAACCAGGCTGGCATTGGGATGCAGACGTCCTGCCCTCCAGGACCCATTCATCCAGCCAGGCTGATGTCACAGAGACATGAGAGCAGTGTAGGGCCCTGCCGAGGATACTCTACTCATCAGCAAGGTAAGACACACCACACTGACTAGTGAGAAAAGAAGAGCTCGGGGCAAACCGAGTGAACAGATGGCACATCTGGGGAAACTGGGACTCCAGGTAGGAGTGGGCACCTCTGGGTCCTGGTACATGTATAGGTGAACTGGCTGGATCCAGTTCACAAAACTGAGGTCAAGTTAAGGTTGGGCCTTGACAAGGCCAAGTACATGATAGCACATGAGGCCATGAGGAAACTAAGGTGCCCCAGGGCTCTGCAAGTTTGTAACCACAGAGTGGGCAATCAAGGGGACCCCTTGGGTCACATGGCCGAGGATGGGATAGAGTTAGCAAAGGCGGGGTTGGGGAGAAGAGAACTATTGGCGTCAGCTCCCTACTGGGCCTCACCAGGTGTCTCGGAGGCTGCCGTGCCTGGCATCTGAGGAGCAGCTTCTTTGAGTACAGGTGGCTCACTTTGTCTGATGTGGGGGGAGTCCCCTGGGGAGGGGCTCGGGCCTTCTGAGCTCAGCAGTCTCCAAAGGACAGAAGCAGCTTCTTGGTCAGCTCCATCCTGGGTGGGGCGGACAGAGGTCTCCAAGGAGGTGTCTGTGGGCAGGAGAATGGGAACACAAGGTAAGTCTGGCCCTGGGGATCAAAACCCCAGGTACAGGCTCCGAGTGCCACCCCAGTTCTCAGAGACTGCCTTCTCTAGCCTGTTCTGCTGCCTGCTCTTCCTTGTTGTGGAAGCCAGCTTGATGGGGAGGCCCAGGAGAAGACACAGAGAGGAGCTGTGAGCCCAGGGACAGGGCCACTGTTGCCTCTCCCAGAGCCATGTATACCCAGGGCCACCCCCTCAAAGCTAAAGAGAAAGTACCTCTCCTTCAGACCCCCCCCCAGTGTGCCTCCAGTCCCACACACCTTCCACCCAGGCCTGGCTCCCCTCAAGGCTGGCTCTAGACTCTAAACCTTAGACAGATCGGCACACGTCAAGGGTTAGGGGAATACCTGGATTTCACTTCCCAGGGCACGCAGGCCTCCCTCCATGTGGCTGACAGCCTTTTGCCCTCCCCTCCCCCAAGTGGTTCAAGCTCCCCCAGGCCTGTGTCTTTACCAAGTTCCTGGTGAGCAATCCCACTACTCCTCTAACCCTCTCCTAGGTATGGCTAATGTTTTCTCCCCTGTACCTTTCAGACATGCTTACCCACATGGGGGTCCCACACACATGTTCCAAGACTGCTGACCACTCCTCTGCCAGCAAGCTCCCCGCCCGGAGCCTTCTCCCCACCCAGATCCTCCTCAATGCTTGCTAATGAGGCATCTCTGACACCCCCAGGCCCCAGGTTGGACAGGCACCCAAACCCTCTTCCCAAGATGCTGGCAGCACCCTTAGAACAGGCCTGGGTGGAGCTTGGCTACAAGTCTCCTGGCCCTCACAGACCAGTGTGAGGATCCTAAGTCATCTCATCTGAAGACAATGGAATTGACCCCTATGCGCTGACAGCTAAGGACACACAGGTAACCCAATCTCAGTCATGACTCCCCATAGAACAGCCTCAATGATCCATGGTTTAGGGAGGCCTGCTCAGATACCAACAGGCCAAAAGTGACCATGATAGCTGTCCTGGTCACACTGTGAATTTCAAGGGCCAGCCCCCATAGGCTGTCAAGGAAAGATTCATTCCTGAGCCTAGTCTACCCATGGACAGCAAGGCAAGCTGGGACCTTGTATGCCCTTTATCAGATAGCCAACCACCCTAGGCATCCTATATGACCTGAGATGTGACCTTGAAAAAAAAATGAGAGTAGGTCTGGCAGGTGGCTACAAGGCGGGGGACCTAAACTGCTAGGTGAACAAGCATAAAGAAGCAGAGAGGAGGGTCTGGGACTTGTTTTATTGTTCTCATCAGGGCAGTGGCCTGGGATTTCCCCCACCCTACAGCCTGTGTCCACCACAGAAGTGGCCCTGGAGATCTACAGAGCTGGTGGCAGGTCAACGCATGCCTTAGGTACAGCCCTAAGGAAGACCCTCGATGGGGATATGTCTCAGGGCAAACACCCAAGTCAACATTTTGTTTTCAAAGCCCCACAGAAGGCCTGAGGGGTGTAGTCCAAAGTGGGGTTTCTCAATTGCTCCTGGCCAGAGCTCTTCTGAAGGGACATCGGCATATTCCAGCACTGCAGGTACTTCCCCATCTTCCCGACGGAGACAAGTCCAGTGAGGTAGGAAGGACCGGGCAGGAAAGCAAGGAAGACTCCATCCCAGGCTGGAGAAGAGAGAGGGTGGGAGGTCCACGAGGTAAGCTGTGGGTTCCAGGGTAGATGCTGGCACCTGGCAGGGCCCAAGGCTCTGGGCCACTAGCCTTACCTTGTTGTCCCCAGGTTGTGTTCCCAGGGTGTGGCATCAACCTTGGGAGGGGCCTGGGGCCTCTCCTCCATCTGGGTTAATATGCAGAGTGACTGTCTCTCCTATGGCCCCAAAGCTGACCATCTGGGTAGAGACCTCTGTCTTGAAGCTATTCTGGACACCATCTACAGAACTCTGGACATGGTGGGCATGGAAGGAGCTTGTCCAAGGGGTGGAACTCACTGGCCCTGCCCAAGCCTCATGCAAGAGGAAGGAGACACCCTCGGGGCTGTGGACCTGGGGCCCTGACATGAAGAATCTGGGCATGGAACTGGGACCTGGAGGACGCCCCACGTTGAACAGGACAGGTTGCCCCACAGTGGGCTCTCTGATCTCTCTCTGGAGCACAGAGACTTCACAGGGAGGTTCATCAGGCGTGCTGGGGGTGGGGTCCCCACAGCCAAAGGTCTCTCCTTCCTGGGGCACATAATCTTCCAGGTCAGCCAATGTTAGCACCCGGCCATTGTGTGTGAGGATTTTGGGGTCACGGCCCTGAAGGCTGCCTGTGTCCTGGGGCTCTTCTATTAGGGAGATATTCTCTTCTCTGTCGCTGTCTCCTTCCTCCTTTGCAGTGTTCTCATCCTCTTGGGAGGCTCTGACCTCCTTAGGCTCAGGTTTAGCAGAGGCCCAGTCCACATTGCCCATTGAGTCCACATGGAAGACGAGGGTTTCCCCAACATGGACTATAGTGGGGTTGCAGGCCCCAGCTTCCTGGAACACACTCTTGTTGTTGGAGTTGTTGGCATTTGGGTCCTCGATCCCACTAGGCAGTGTGAAGAGGATACCCTCTCGACTGCTGGGCATCTCTCGGACAGGAGATGCACCCCGTGATCCTGACTTCTTTACCCGGACTTCAATGGTTTCTTCAACCTCTAACCACTTGGGCTTGGGCTGCGAGGCTGGGGCGAGGGTTTCAGCTTCTGTCACATATAATGCAGGCACCGGGGCCTTCCTGCTTGCTTCTACCTCGAGCCTCCGGGATGGGCTGGTCCCTGGTGGGTACAGCATCTCAGGGGCCAACAGCACAGGCCTCAGTGGACTGGCAGAGCGGCGGGAAGGTGAACGGGAGGGAGACTTGCTGGGGGACTGTCGTCGGCCACGGGGACTCTTCACCACGGTGGTGATGGTCTCTTCTCTGGTAGGGGAAGAGGGCCCAAGAAGAGATGGGCACAGAGACCCACAGCCTCACCCAGCATAGTGCCACCAGCATATGTCAGAGACCAAGTTAGTGCGTGTGTGAGTAAGCAGAGGATAGGACAGCACAAACTCCTACACATGCGCTTGGGCCCAACCTACACAACCCTAGCTAAGAAAATCAAAGAAACAAAGCACAAAGTT